CAGGAAGGTCAGGGCAATGTGGTTTACTGTAAATGTTCTTACCTACTGCTATAACAGTGCTCTTATGTAACTGCTTTTCTTCCTGTGCTTTGAGATGCATTGTTTATCTGCACTGCAGTGCATGTCATGCACAAAACTCTCCACAAGACTACATTGACTTTGCCTTTGAGATATGATAATAATAATGACCCCGCCATCCTCTATTACTACATCTACTTCTCCTGGGCTTGTATAGAAACCCACGTCTGACTGCCTGCCTCCCCATATAAAGAAATGGATGTCATGCTACAGCTTCTTTCTGGGGGATACAAATGCAATATTTCCTTCTTCTCAGGTGGTGAGTGAAGATGAGCACAGTCAGAACCAGGGGAACCAGAGCCCCAACACCGGCTCCATGCAGAGTTCTCCTCGACGGGTGCGATCAGAGACGATGTTCCTAGAGCGTGCCGCGCCACTCCTCCGGAGGATGAGACACAGTCAGAGCTTGGCGTTTGAAAAGAGGCTCGCACCTGAATCCAAGCCCACCATTGAACGCTTCCTCGAGGCCTAGTTAGTACTCGATACACATCAAATTTCAAAATATACAGTTGTAAGAGCTCAAAATATGTGTATATTTTGGAAGCCCGACTGGAACTCACCATTACACTTATAATATCTTGTTTCAGCTTGGGCAAACAGCGCCCTATCCTTTCTCAACTCGGGGAGAAATCCATTCCTGAGATGGGACACGGGCAGCAGTCTTCCTGCAACGAGGAACACTCTGGCACAGCAACCCCTGACCACGAAGAGGGCGCAGCAAGCAGTGGCTTTGTGGCCGTGAACCTCAGTCCTGTGCCCCAAGAGGGAGACTCCCAGGAGTGGGTGATGCTGGAGCTAGAGCAAGGCAGCGGTTCTGGAGCCACCAAGCCTCCAGGTGAGGCCCTGCACGAGGACAAGCCTGCGACACGCACGCCCGCTGAGGCTGAAAACCAGTCCTCTGAGCCACAGGATGCCCAGCCCGCAGTGGTGCCGAGCAGTCCTGTTCTGTCGCAGATGTCCATGCCCGGCACGTGGTTACTGGGCCACAGGAGACTGACGGGGATGCTGGGACAAATGCCCTCTGTGATTATGGGAAGACCCCAGATGGACCAGGTAAGGGTGACCAAGCATTTATTTGTGCATGAACTAATAAATAGGAAGGACTTTTCAAATATTTGTGTTAAACCTTTTCACGGTCACACCCCTCTAACAATCTTTAAAATCTCCTCAGTCTTCCAGCTGTGCCCTACAGTCCCCTGTACAGGAGAGTAGCAATGCGATACCACTCGAGGCTCCATCTGATAAATCTGAAAAACTCCCAGAGGACATCTTAAAAGATGGAGGGAGGTTGGACTTAGCTCCAGTGCCAAGCTCAGCCAAAGGCCACGCGGCTCACCTGACAAACGACAAAGACCCAGAGAGTGATTCCGGTCTGCCCGATCGCTCCTCGGAGCCGAATCAGCAGCCTCAAGCTGACACAGCAGGAGGTGCTCTGGAGAGCACCGTCACCGTCTCCTCCTCTCCACCGCCAGCTCTGCTCAGGAGAAGAGACTCTCCCTCGTCCCCAAGATTGAGCCGAATCCCAGTACGAGACCCAAACAACCCCCTGGACTCTCCGAGCAGGGACCTCAACATGGAGAGGCGTCATCGCTGGAGCAGCCCGGTCCCGGGCTCCCCGACCCACTCCCCCTCTCCATCTCTGTCCTGTGACAACCTGCCTTGTGCTTTGCTGAGAGACAGGCTCCTCTCAGAGCGAGGCTCCAGGTCTGACTGTGTAGGAGAAGACCCTCTCTCTCTGTCCTCCTCATCAGGTAGTAGAAGTAAGATCCCACGTCCGGTGAGCGCCACCTTTGTACCCGAGCTGCTCACAAGCAGGTTTCTGCCCCGACCACCACCTGGGAAACCACCCATCCGCCTGTGTGTGGACAACAGGTATGCTGCTGTAAAAGTGTGATCAAATGATCTACATTACCGATTCAGTTGTCACTTTTTGTTTGGTGGTGAATATTTAAAGCTATAATCCGTTGGATTATTACCTCAGTAAACGTAATTTAAACATGAGTTTATGGTCTCTATGGCTAGATTCTGCTGTCAAAAGAATGCAGAATATTACTGTTATTTATTTTTGTAGACGTTTTGTGTTGAGTTGAATGCTTTTAATGTGAATAAGCAGCAGAAGGAAATGTTCAGTCTGCTTTGGTGTTAGGAGAGTGAACCGTAAACAGTCAGGCTGTTAAGAATGAGATGAAAATGCAAATACTGCATCATTTCCTGTGAATCCCTTATGCAATTAGAATGCAGTGCAGGAAGGGCGGACTCAACTACTACCAATGAAAACTACAAGAATGTGAAAATATTAAATGCCAATTGCTGAAAGTAAATATAAAAAACTGTTGGTTGATTTCATGTAAATTTTAAGGATTATAACTTTCATTTCTCTTCACAGACAGATTTGAGGAATAATCCAGAAGGCATTGTGATCACATTGTCCTGTGCTCTTTTCTCCAGAAGACGGCGGTTAAGAGTGCGTGCCAGCAGCACTAGTGACGCAGACTTTCTGGCCAGTCTGACTCAGCTGATGCAGGACCGGAGCGGGATGCTCTTCAGCCCCCCTCCTCGCCCTCGGAGCTCCTCTTCCTCCCTGCAGCGCTCACTTAGCTCCTCCCCCTCCCGCCACGAGCTCCGGGAGGTCGGGGCTCTGCAGGGACGCAGCCGCTCTCCATCTAGCTTCTCCGGCTCCCCTCCTCCTCCTCGCCACGCTCACCCACACGACAGGTCTGGAGGCCCCCTGGGTCAGTGGGTCCACGGCTCCAGGGGAAGGGGTCTGACCCACGAGGGTAAAGGCTCCGGCAAAGTGAGTCGATGACTATATTTGGCACAAAAGTGACTCATCCGGATTCAGCGAGAGATTGCTTCGCATTCAATCGCTGATAGCATGTGTAAATACGGTATTTACTCAAGGGAATGTACTGTATGTAATGTAAAATGTATAAATTGTATTTATTTATTTATTTATTAATTTGATGGATGTGTGTCTCAAAATACTTGACAATGTGGCTTGATACCTGAAGATTGCCAACTTTACCTCTCATTTCACTCCTCTCTTAAATCTCCATAAAGGCCTAATATGAGACCAAAAAGATAATGTTAAATACTCGAGGGATGTAAAAAGGATGCTTATTGTAGATATGTACCATGGGGACAATATTGAACACTAATAGAAACCATGTACTCGCATTATGAACACTTGAGAGTAAATAACACGAGCAGTATACTAACATCGGCATTCATGTACAGAACCAGAGCATGGTGCCCCATGTCGACCTCACTCCTGTAAAACAGCTAGATTAATTATTCTATGTGACAATGAATTGCTCATTTGGCATATCACAAGTGTAGTAATGTGTTTTTACTTTGCTAGAAAATATCTGTCATGCAAAAGGCATCCGCATATTAGAATGTACGTGTAAGTGCACTCATACTTAAGTATTGTAAAAGTGCATGGGTATCATTGCAAATTCTTTTTTTATTTTTATTCATTTGTACAATCTGCTAAGACGTATTTTTATTGAACTGCTTCTGATTGAAATACATCATAATATAGACCAGCATCGATGTGCAATTATTCTTTCTGACATCAAGTAAACAGTAAAGGAAGAAAAGTGGAACCTGTTCATGTCTGGTTGTTGTTGCATTTTATTTTTTGGCACAATTCAAAATATATATTAAAATAAGTAGATTCAATAAGTGCCAGATCTCTTTAAAAAAAAAAAAATATGAATTCCTGGTTACACCATAGACTGTTTACGTTGTGAATAAAGGGTCAGTGCAACTAAAGTTTCTCAGTACTTCAAACCGTGGGAGTGTAATGATGTCTGTCTCTGAGATTTCTGTCACCACCTCGACACAAGTAAATGGAATTTGTTTTGTGGCACAGCCACAGAAACATTGGACGTTTACGTATACATTTACTGAAGAAATGCTCAGCAGCACTGTCGGTAATCAGATAAATGGGAAACGCCAGACAAAGCAGACATTTAAATCTTGACTAAACATGCTCAGAAGACTGTAATGTTTTTATGCTCAAGTTGCAACATGCCCGCTGAGAACAATGACTTGTCAGATTCTGTTGAAGCAGCTCTTTTAGACAGACGTCCCTGTAAGCGCGAGAGAGAGACTGCTGACGAGGTGGTGACTGAATGGTGGGAGTCCCAGATGACAGCGGAGAAATGAAGGCTCCTCCATCTGTGGTGGTCAATGTTTAAATCTAACAGCAGTAATTGACAGGAAGTTACACCATGTGTAGACAGAGACAGATTGAATCTCAAAACTCCTTTAAAATAACAGCAAGTTTAGTCATCCTTTGGGCTTTCTTGCTATACAGACTCCAGTCTTAAACTTTTTCCAACCTGGTTTACCAGTGGTTATGTACGAAATAAAGATGTATTGCATACAAGATGTGCAGTGTGGCAGATGCAGGTCGGTGATGAATCTCGACTGCTATACAAGAAACAGAAATTACAACAAATGGCCAGATGTTGACAATATAATAAGCAACTTAAAAACAATCTCACAAAGTGTTTCACTCGGTAGCCATTCTGGAGCTTGAGTTTGACCAGCTGTCTTGGAAATGTTTAGGATTGTATTTTTATCTGAGCACTTAACGGGGCTTCCCGTCTGTTAGCTTACAAATGTATGTTCGACAGTTAAATCTTGACCGTGTGGTGATCAGGAATGAAGTTTTAATCTCAAGCACCTTCACAAATAAATTCATAACCATGAAGACTGTGGCTCAGTGCTTAACATAATTGAAACACTCCAAACTGTTTGAATATGAGCCATACTATTTTTGCTATTTGGCAAAATAAATAACTTTGAACCACATGTGCTGATAATTAGTACTTTTGTTAAAAAGTACTAATAGCTGATAGCCTTTTTGGATCATAAAAAAGGAACTGTAAAATGCAGACGGTAATAAAATTCTTAGTAAAGAAATGTTTATTTACAGTACATTTTAAATTCACATACAGAATATTTGTTGTGTCATGGTGTATAATAAAAAGTTATATGTCCTGCTCAACACAGTAGTTTATCAACAGCCAAGCAGTTAAAATATGGTGTGCTTAATTGAAGATGTGCACAAAACCTTGAACGGAGGATAAAAAAGGGTCGGAAGCCCCGATGCCAGCAGCCAGCAACACATCCGTGGTGGTGGAAGTAAATCATGACCTACAAGTTTGAGGTCTAGAAGAGAGGTGCGGACTGTCTGGGGTCATCTGGCAACACGCTGATTGAGTCCTCTGCCTTTCCACACAGCATGCAGAGCATCGTGTACTCCTGGACAACACAAAACACACTGTATATACACACTGAAAGACTATCCAGGAGCAACAACTAACCAGGAATACTGTTAAATTAGAGAGAGATGCGTTACCTGGTATTCATCAACAACGGAGAAAGTATATTCATGCCTGGCAACAACATGGTCACAATTTTTGCAAACATCTGGAAGGAGAAAATGGACATTAGTGGATTACATCTCTGCCCATGCATTCGATTTCGGATTATTATGAAAGATTTTGGTCATTGTTTTTACTTCACAAGGCCCTTTGAAGAAATACGCTGTATAGTATACAACATGCTGCTATAACTGCCTCCACTCTTAAAAAGGCTTTCCACAAGATTTTGAAACCCGGCTGCAGGCATTTGTTCCGATTCAGCCACAAGAGCATGAGTGAGGTCGGCCACTGATGTTAGGTTATCAGGCCTGACTCACGGTTGAGAATCTAGTTCACCCTAAAGGTGTCACATTCTTGCACACTAACCAGGGAAAACATGTAGGAACCATGGCATGTTTAAACAGGAACAGTATCTTCCTCAAACTGTTGCCAGAATCGGTGGGAGTGCACTACTGTCTACAATAACACTGCATGCTGCAGCATTACGTTAGATTGAATTTAGGAGTCTCTACACAACACCTGAAAACCAGCCCCAGATGTAATGTTACATAACATATCAGCACATATTGGTAACACTGTGTCAGGAGCATAACTATAATGACTAACGGTCGTATGTGACGATCTCCTCGCCATCCTCATCCTCGGTGGCTTTATTGCTGATAAGCACAAAGTCCCTCTGGTTGCAGTTGGCACAGCCCAGGTAGTTCATCAGGTACGAGCCGTTCTCCAGACACGTGTTACCCTGAGCAGGAAAACATAACAATAACAACGCATTCAACTCGTTTTAAGTTCTCAATGGCGCCCTAAAATGTCATACTTTAGCGTTGTAACAGGGTTGTAACAGGGCGTAGTCGTTTGAGGTGGTTGGTAAACACAACTGTGCATTAATTAACGTAACTCATAGCTAGCGAACTATAACGTCAGTATCTAGCTATACATTTACGTTAGTATACCGTGTGTGCGTCGGAACGTCAGAAGTAGCTAGTTAACAGTTAACGTTAGATTAACAGTTACATCAAATTAACTTACCCGGTCCGGGTACTCTTTTTTCACACAGCCGTTGCACATTTTTAACTTGGAAGATCTTTCGAGTCACTTGTCGATAAAACACTGTAAATCACCAAACAAACAGCCTTTTCTTCCTCCTTTTTTTTTTTGGTAGAAACTCCTCTTCCGTACGATACGGTGGCCCCTGCGGCTCATTAGACCTGTAAAAGAGCCTCATGGCCCGGATGTCGTTGCAAAAGCCCCGAATCGCTCCCATCGAATCTTTTGTAGATCTACGAAGGCTGCCCGCTGCCGGCTGCCACACTTCCGGTGTCATCTTTAGCCACCGATTGGTCAACGTGAACTGTACGTCAGTTTACGTGAGCGAACATGGCGGTTGAGCTGCAGTAGAGTTGTGTTGCCATGAGAAATGTGTCTGGTAATGCTGATATATTTATAATTCAAGCTTAATATTTTGTCATCATAATCCGTTGAGGATTTACCTAAAATGCCGTTAACTTTAACGGCTTGTGCGGTTTTAACGTTAGTCCACCTAAAACGTGAACGCTGGCTACTTTTGACTTAACCACGTTGTGCTGCTGTTATAAGTTTAGATTCGTGATGACTGCAGCGTTATATTAGTCAACGTTTTAACATTTCACCCTAAAGCCGATTCAACCACCAACAGTCTATATCCTATAGGCTGTAGGCTTTATTCATTGGTGATAGGATGCTATGGAGACATTTATTTATCCCACCATGTGTAGTGCTCGTGCCAGGCTCTGATTCACGTGCGCTGCTATAGCGTGTTCTTCCCCCCTCTGTGTAGAAATGTCAAAGGTTCAAACCCCACATGGTAAAGTGGGTAAAGCCCCTGTAAAGAAGAAGAGCAACAACGCAAAACCTTCAAAGAACCCCAGAACAGTCTACTGTATTTTGTGTCGCAAGTCTGATTTGAAACATGTAAGTGGCTCTAACTTTACCAACACATTTAAATGAATAGTAGTGCTGGCTAGTATGTTGTTTTTACCAACCTACAGCCGTTCCAAATGATCTATAAGCTTGACAATATGTTTCTTAACTACAGGAAGCACAAGACCATGTGCATGGTATGCTGCATCACAGAGAGCTTGAGACAGTGCTGGGCAAGTGAGTGATATTTGTCAGATATGAAAATGTTATTGACACACCTTATGCACAACACAACAAATGTCAAGGCTGCATTCTTCTGGAGTATTCTTTTTAATTTGTTTGTTGTGCAGAGAACATATTTTATTTAGACTAAGTTCTTGTACGTTACCACTTGTAAAATGTGTATAAAAACATGTTATTACTCAAAGTAAGGTATCAATAAAAGGTGCCTGTTGTACTGAAACTGAGGTGTTGTGTAGGCACTAGTATCAAAATATTTAAATATTGTCCAGTGTTTTCCTGCCTTACTGGGATAAGATAATCATAACATGCATCAACCCATCTTAAAGCAAAGATTCTGACATGTACTCGTATCTGACTAAATGTCCCGTTCTTCCATTAACAGGGATTCATTTCACGAATGCCAGGCGTGTAAGGCGTCCTCCATGGGGTTAAATGAGTATGCTCGGCACATCTCCACCGCTCAACACCAGATCAAGTTGAAGAGCTTGATGATGAAAAAAATAAAGCCTGTCTCTCTGTGTAATACTCTGAGCAAAGAGACCATGGGCCAGATCATGGAGAGGAACAAGACACTAAAAAAAGAGGAGTAATAATTTCACCTTTTCATTTGTATGCATTTTATTCTCTCCATGATGTAATAGTTTTAATAACTGTGGGGCTTTTTTTTTCATTACAGGAAGAAAGCAGGGAGAAAGAGAAGAAAGAAACAGAAGCAGGAAGCTGGTCAGAAGCATGTGGAAATGCTACGTGGAGCCAAGGGGAAAAAAACGGCGGCGTCCAAAGTAGCGAAGCTGGAAAAAACCAAACAAGCGAACACAAGGATACTGCAACAGGAGATCCAAGGAAGGAAAAATGCTGTTGTTCAAAACAAAGAGAACAAAGTGTCCAGTCTGCACAAGTCTCTTCACCAAAGAGAATCAACTCTTCAGAATCAAAGCGGAACATTGGTTTGCTTGTCAGAGGAGCCTGCAGGTCAAACTTGCCCTTCTGTCCGAAACCAGTCCACTCAATCAGCTCAGCAGCTGAAGTACAATGACAACTGTTCTGTCAAAATTGAGAGCTCCCAAACAGACAGACTTGGTAGAAGACCTTACAAAACCCAAGGAGGTGCCACTAACAAGCAAAAACAAAAAACATGGTCTACCGTCACCCAGAATGACTATTACGACAAGCAGTACGATGGGGAATTCACCAGTGATCACCTTCCTGATAACGGAGCCATCATCTTCGGTCGTGACCAGAAGGAGAGTTTGGGATCTTCTCCGTCGGCACAAGAAGGTTCAGCTCAAACTGCTTCAGCAAACGGGACCGCCAACGCGGCTCCGATACGGGACGTCGACGTCAGTGCGATGCTGCGGCAAATCAGAAGAGCGCTGGGTGTGAGGGAGCCGTGTAGAGCTGACCGCGAAGCCCGGAAGCAGAGCAGCGAGACGGGTGTCCGGGTGGCTGATCACAGCTCCACGCAACAAGCTCGAGCTGAGAAGGAGGCGACACTTCACGCCTCCTCTGCTGCAGCTACATCTGAGCAATCCTCACAGGTTGATGGCCCGGCCCCTGCAGCTGGTGTTTCTCCGACCACATCCTCTGAGCCCAACCTGAACATCACCCGCAAGGTTCGAATTGCCCACAAATCAGCCAACGGTCAAGTGGGGAAAGAGGCTGAGCTTAAACCAACCGTGAAGAAATTGCTCAGCTTATCAGGGGCCAAGAACACATATGAGGACACGAAAAGGAAGAAGCAGGACAGCGGCAAAGGCATGCCCAGGTAAACCTCTTTTCCTTGTTTTCTTTTTCGTTTTACCGTTCGTTTGAAGTTATAGTTTTTAATTCTGTGTGGCAACAGGTTTGGAATTGAGTTGGCGAACCCTCTGTCTGACCAAGAAAGCTCAACACAAGCAAAGGACAATGACGCAACCCTGTCAGAAGGCTTTCACTGGGAGTCGCTCCCAGACGGTCCTTCGGGGGCACACCGGACCTCGTTACCTCCTCCGCCCCACAAAGACTCCCAGTCAGACTCTCAGATTCAGGAGCAGCCGGGTGCAGCACAGGAAGGCTGCAGCAGTCACACGGCTGACGCTGTCTCCGTGAAGGTGGAGCCAAAGTTGAATGATGAAAATTTGCAAGCCAACGGTAGTGCCAGCAAGAGGAAACGCAACGTTGTGAGTGGTGTACGGTGTTTTTAAGTGTAGGGCACAGCTGAAACATCAAACTCATATATTGTTATGGTTGGAATATAATTCTTGTGTGCTCTTACAGTATGATGGCATTCCTGATATGCAGCCAAGTGGAAAAAAGAAGAAAACAAAGTCAAACAAGGGTAATTCTGATATTTTGAGTGCTTTATTTTTTAGATGGACAACGTTTTGATCCCAGTGAGGTCGTCTGATCCCAAAAAAAAGTCATCCAAAACACTGGTTTCTGTTGTTTTCCTACCTAACAGACCAGGGCCAGATGGACCAGCTGTTGGCTGTGTCTCTGAGGGAGGATGAGCTGAGTCACTCGTTGCAGGATTTGGACAAGTCTCTGGTCCAGGCCCGCAATGCCCTTCAAGCTGCCTACACAGAAGTGCAAACACTCCTGCTAATGAGACAGCAGGTACCACCACTAATAAAGACGCATAACAAAATATATATATTTTTTACTTTTTCCTCAGGATTCATGTCAAGGCTTTACATTAAATTGTTCCTTTTGGTGTTGTAGTTCACTGCAGAGGTCAACAGTCTGAGAGCCCAGCGCATTGTAATCCTGCAAGGGATGCAAGGTACATTAGATTTACCCGTCGCTTGGAATGAATTCATATCAAACGAGTAGTTTAACCTTTTTTCTTTCTGAATCTCTTTCAGGAGGATACACGGGAGCAGAGAAAGGCACCACTTCATCAGCTACAATGCATCCAAGACTCTCTCCCCTTCCCTCCTCAGTCTTCCCCTCCTCTGGCCAGCAGTCTCCCCTAAACCCAGCATCTTCCATTAGCCCCCTTGCCCTGCCAACCATGCAGGTAAAGCAAGAAATCTTCCAACAAGCCACAGCTGGTCAGGCTAGTCAGTCTGCCAAAACAGTCTCTGATACACTTCAGTTACCTGCGAACCAACCCGTGCCCTTGTTTCCCTCCGATTTGCTCCCTTCACTGCTGCTTCCGTCGCCATGCTTAGCTGCTCCCACAACTGCTGTTACCTCTCTCAAGCAACTCAAACTCGAGTGCTCTGCGTCAGCCGGTACAAATAGTTATCCCGAATCATCTGCCGGGCAGCAGACAGCAACTTTAGTGAGAGAAGAAACGCAGTCGTCTGACAGTGATTCAGAGGAAGAGATGGGAGGAAAGCCGGCCTCCACTCTTGTCCCCCAGAGAGGTCCAAATGCATCTGCTGCAGCACCGGACGACGACGACGGAGGGAACGAGAGCGACGCCTCCATCGAAATGATGGAGCCCTGCTCCGTGGTCATTGATATCGATGAATCGGACTCTGAGGATTCACCAGATGCTCCGGTCCACCAAGAGCCTCCTCAGAAGTCCGTCAGTGTGGAGTTCAATTCTTCAAGCTCACAGACATTTCCGCAAAATGACGTTGAGAGGTGAGATTACGCTTGGTGTAGATCCTGAACATTACAGGCTTTACTGTACTTGTAAGTGTGAAAATGTGACCGACGTTTCTCTCTCGCCCACTCAGAAAATTTCAGCCTCCACTTGTGCCAATGAAAGATACCGGCGGTGAGTATTGTTTGTTCCACTTGCATCAAGTGTCACAGGACACGTTTAGATGCAAAGATAGGATGTTTTTCCCCCGTAATCACAGTTTGTTCATTGTTTTTTTAGAATGTGTTGATGTGGTCGAGGACGAGGAGCCGTCCGTGGGAGCTTTTTCTCATCACACAGGCCCCGTCCACGGCCTCCAGGTTCACGGCGGACGCTTGTACACGTGTTCAGGGGACAACACAGCACGGGCCTACAGTCTGATGGTACGTTGATCACGGTCCCGAATTTATACCCACTTTCACCAAACTTTGTCCCTGCTGACAACTGCATCCTTCCTCAGACGATAAGAAAATATGATCAAACCAAAAGAGCGTCCTTCTGTTTCACGCAGTGTGTTGATTTTCTGCTGTTTGTGTGTATCCAGACCAGGGAGTGCCAAGCAGTGTTTCAGGGTCACACAAACAAAGTCAACTGTCTGCTGGTGTCATCTGTCCCAAACATGCCACCTCGCCTCTACACCGGATCCAGTGACCAGACCATCCGCTGTCACAGCATAAAGGTACAGAAGACGACTGGACACGCCATATTGTCATCTCTTATCAGACAGGGAATCATGTCAGTTATTGATGTTGATGATTTTATTTGGTAATTTATTTTTTCTCCTCTCACCTCCAGACCACAAAGTGTCTGGAGCAGATCTCTCTGATGGACAGAGTGTTGTGTTTGCACATTGCCTGGAACATCCTGTATGCTGGACTGGCCAATGGAGCAGTGGCTAGTTGTGACTTAAAGGTGAGTAACATTATTGTACAGGGGGAAGTAGCTCATGATTTTGTTACCAGGAGAGGTTGGTATTTATTATGCTTTGACATTAAAAACACTACATGTTGGAACTTGAGTAAGACAATCATCAACACTGAGTATTTGCATGACCAGGCTGAAAGCATCTCCATCTCTGTAAATGTAGACACTGATTTAGCAGTGTTGTGGATTATATTTCCAGAGCATACGAGTTGTTTTTTTCTTTGTCTGCCAGAGTAATGTTCTGTCAGCTGCTCAAAAACATCAGCAGAACCGTTAACTCTCCCCCTCTCTCTTATCTTTGCTTTCACCTCATCCTGATCGCTCTCATTAGACTCTGAAGCACTTGGATGTGTTCGAGTGCCACGGCCCGCGAGGCGTGAGCTGTCTGGGTACATCACAGGAGGGTGCCCGTCGGGTGCTGCTGGTCGGCTCCTACGACAGCAGCATCAGCGTACGCGACGCCAAGAGTGGCCTGCTGCTGCGCTCGCTGCAGGGTCACACCAAAACTGTTCTCTGTATGAAGGTAAGCAGATCAACCCAGCTCTGAAAACCTCAACTGTTAAACTTAAAAACATGTTTTGTCCAGATGAGGAGACTAAGTAATTGGAAATTCAGACGCTGACACTTGCAGATGCTTCGTAAACATCTAAAATGGCTAAACATTGAATTTACATCTTCTTAAAGCTGTAAATACTTCATCCCTTAAAATGCTGCAATTAATTGCTGTATTTCTACAGACTTGTAGATGAAATGTAGACCATCAAAGATATTATTACGAAAACATAATAATCAGGTATACTGAATAATACTTCCTTTATTGTTTTCAGGTGGTGAACGACCTGGTTTTTAGCGGCTCCAGTGACACATCTGTTCATGCCCACAACATCCACGTAAGTATGAGTTTTAATTATGAGTATTAAATGACCGTTTAACATCACAGATCTGTTAATCTGAACATTTATTTAGTTACTGAGGTGAACAACATGACAATCAAAAGGTTGAGATTGTTGGAATTCATAATCTTGAAGTATTGCATCTGTCTGAGTCTTTTCGAACGTCACACGCTCACTGGCGCCGTTATTTCTGTCGTGCATCTTTATTTGCAGACGGGTGAGTTGGTTCGCATCTACAAGGGTCACGATCATGCGGTCACATCAATAGTCATCTTGGGGAAAGTGATGGTGACCGCCTGTCTGGATAAACTGGTCAGAGTTTATGAGCTACAGGTACCGAATTTATGATTTAATTATGCATTTTAACAATCACGCGCCCAGAAGTGGACTACGGCCATTTGACACTGATTTCTGAACATGTTGCTAGTGTATAGAACCAAAAAAATGAATCATATATAGAGAGAAATTTGACTTATTGCCGATATCACGTGTAATGTATTACAACTAGCTGCCTTGTGCATCAGGTGAATCATCTCTGTTATTCATTTAAACTTTGTATTTGTGTCTTTTCAGTCTCATGACCGTCTGCAGGTGTACGGGGGTCACAGTGACATGGTGATGTGTATGGCCGTGCATAAGAGTGTGGTACGTGGTCTAAGTCTGGTCCAGCCATGGTTTTCAATCTAAACTTGCACGACAGAGGTTCATTTTTACAAAAAGATGGATGGATATTGTTCATCGTTTGTCCCAACCAGGTCTACACAGGCTGCTATGATGGCAGAGTTCAAGCTGTGAAGCTCAACTTGATGAAGAACTACCGCTGCTGGGTAACGACACAACAAATTATCCAATGTTCTTCTTCTTCTTCTTCTTGAAGATATTAAATGGTTGTATGATTTGTAATGTTTTCTGATTGGCTTGCATTGTAACGTGTGTTACTTGTGGCCTCCGCCCTCTGTTCAGTGGCAGAATTGCGCTCTGATCTTCGGCAACACGGAGCATCTTTTGCAGCACCTCGTCAGAGATCACTGCAACTTGAACCTGCAACAGGTCAAATGTCGGTGGAGAGGCTGCAGCACTTTTTTCGGCACACAGCAGTCTGTTCAGCAGGTAATGAACCGACGCCGTCTGACTTTCAGCAAAGTGAATATTGCCAGTCGGCTCGTTAGCTCAGCAATGTGTAAGAGTTTGTTACATTTGGGCAGGTTGAACGTTACCATGAGAGCAATTTCCACTTTTCATCCCCGGAGTTTTATTGAATAATATTAATATGCTAATGCATGTAGCTCTCGGCAGAAAACGGGATGAAACAGTTCCTCAGTCTTTGTTATCTTTCTTGCAGAATTTGCCCGAACACATGCAGAGCCACGTGGAGAACGAGAGTAAAGTGCAGCCTTGAGCTGCGGTGAAGTTGATGCAGCAGATACGGTTCATAACAACACCTCTGCTGGTTATATTTTAAATTCGCTTTTTTATTTTCCAGTCATTTTCCAATAGGAGATGATGTTTTCCTGTTGTGTTCTACCTTTTGAGGTGCAGAGCACATCTCTTGGTCTTGTGCATACTGTATGATCCCTATGACAGACTACTTGTTATTGATGCCTGAAGCCGTTGCATGACCAGATTGAGACGTTCAATCTCTAACACTCTATCAGTCCTGTTGTTAAAATAATTAGTTTCAGCTAATTTCTTCATAAATTATTTGCAGTTGTCAGAAATTCATCTTAATTGAATGAGTTGAGTCATTCAATACTCTAGCTTTGGTTTGTTGGTCTACAAGTGTTTTGTTTTCACTATGAATTTATGATGTGGTTTTGTACACTATCTATATATTTATGTATATTGTACAGTAAGCCTCTTCAGAGATGTCATTAGTATATGTGGAGCTAACTACTCAGAACATTTATACAACTATGCAGCGCTGAAATAAACACTTCAGAGTAGCTTTTGCGAAGCAGCCAATAGTGTGAACGGGTCTTGATATTGTCTGAATATATTGAGGAACAGCAAAGCAGATATGCAACAGTGTCTGAATCTGAAACCAAATTATTTTAGTTATACGTGAACACCCAGTTTGTGACATCGTCCCTCTGCACACTCGAGTTATCATAAATGATTATTCCACCAATTTAGCTTTGAGCTCCTGTCACACTGTCGGTCTGACAATGATCAGTTTTTAAAAAAGGATCAAAGTCGACGCGTCAGAACACGATATATTTTCTTTATTCCATGCATTCATCCTCCTCGTTAAAACCTGGCGCCTACAATACCCACAATGCAACTCGACAGCCAACAGTTCTGTCACAGATTTGGGTGTGTTATGCTAGTGCTGGCTAATGTAGTCTTGAGCCACCAGCGTTCGAGCAGAGATGAGAAGCTAAAGCACTTCTTTCTTACACAACACCTCCAGATTTGTTTTCATTTTCTAACTTGCAGTTTAAGCCCAAATGACACAGTTGATCAGATTTCGCGCAGCACTCTGGAGCCACAACGCTTAAGGCTTTATACTTCTTCTTTCACATATACAGTACCTCAGACATCAGATCATTTTTGGTCATTTTAGGAAGGGTCAGCACTCTGAGGACTGTCAGGAGGATTTTAAATTCCTTTCTAAAGTTTTTCAGAACTTTAGTTCTGAGATTCTCTGGATGATGGCTCAGTTGTGGAAATAAACAGGCTTAACTTGCTTTGTACTGTATTATTTATACAAGGTGCAGTTTGGGAAGTAGCTCCAGGGTTTAACAGCCATTAGCTAATATTTAGCAACTGACACTTTCTGTACAAAGAGTAAAAGGGTATCTGTACCTGCCTCATTTTAAATCAGACTTTTATTAGATTTTTCCCCAACATCACAGTGTTAAGACAATGTATCCTCAATTACCCACATTGACACTTAGAAACTTTAAAATGAATTCCTTGTGTTGACTGAGAGGTTTGACTATGGAAAATATGTTCAGCATCATTACGTAAATAAACCCTCCACTCACTTTTAACTTTTACGTTTCCACATTTCCCAGAGAGTTATTCTAGGCAATGTCCCCATATCACCTTGAAAACTACTTTGAAAAGTAGTAGTGAAAGTTGTCAGACTGAACTGTCCAGAGAGTAACTTCTAACAATGCTGTTTTAAAGTCTTGCCTTAATTTTTGTATGTTCTAGTGTACAGTGTGTATTTGATTTGTGTTTAGTACCTACTGTATGTGTACAGCAATAAAAAATACAAATACAATTTACTGTATTCACCTCTGCTTTATTCTAAGAGAATATACAGAACATTCATTTGAATGATTTGTCAAACATGCTAATTCCCTCAGTTCTCATATTCAAACATTTTGATATTATAAGATATTCTTCACAACATAGGAACTTAAACAAAAGGTCAATGCTACTCGCCTGCTTGCTTCACCACCCATCGCTGCTTCATGCCAAACACTGATGTAACATGTTATCAGGCTACACTGACTTCAGCATTCATCAGATTTTGCCGCTCTCCTCGGCACCAAAGAGAACTGATCACGTTTCAGGAATCCGCACAAAACTGAAAGGATGTAATTAGCTTAAAGGGAAAATAAACCACTTATAGTGGTTTATATAATAAACCACTTATTTTCATTTATGTGGATGTCCAATCAATGTTAATGATAAATGTAGTTGGTTAAAGCAATAACTCCCTCAGTGCATGCCATATTCCCTGAGAAAGTTTGCAGCTGCACAATCTGTTGTTCTTGGACATCCACATAAAAGGGGTGAAGTTTTCCATTTAAAAATAAGTTTGAATTAAGTCTAAACCATCAGAGTTTGAGTGTTGCGAGAAAGCTAATTTACATAAAAACTGCGAGAAATCATCAAACCTTTTGATTTTGTTGCAATCTCAAAAGCTGTGCAGAAATACATAAGGAGGCCATCCAGGAGAGCTGAGTCATGAATGTGACGCTCCAACTGTCTGACGCTACGTCAAGACGGTGTCTTAAGAATACATCGTCAGCTGAAGCCACTACAGAGAGGGACAAAGAAACACAAGTGAGCATAAAGGGTTTCATTATACTTACAGTACACAAGTGCAAACCACAAGACACTTCACATTGTAATGTAATGCATGGCTGTAGTTGGTGGCGTTGTATTGCACTGCACTATATTGTGACTTTTCCCCCTTGTTTTGGTCTTCTAAACATGAAGATTAAGTGGACAAAATATTAGAGACACCTGTCGGTACAATGCAATCCAACAGAGCAGTACCTCAAAGTGCAACCTCAAAAATAATGGACTATACCAAATAAGTAAGGTAATATTTCCTGAAAGGCAGCTGGTGTTCCTCTTTTTTGGTTACTCAGGCTCTTAGCCAGTTTGAAGACTGTAATATGGTTAAAAGCTCAGGAAAAACTACATAGTAAGTTGACCTTAAATTGGGAGCATTTAGCCAAACTACTTCTATACTCTTAAAATAGCAAGAATAAACTTTAATGCCCTTCATCCCAAACTTGATATCCTGAACACAAAGAAAATAGCAAAATGCAAATAATATGAATATCAAACGGGTGTTTACCTCCAGGACATTGAGCTTTATTATTCCATCTCCATCTTTGTCAAAGGCATTAAAAGCTCCTGCAATAGACAAAACAATCAGTCTTCATCTATCTCTTCATAAATCTTGAACAGCTGGAGGGCAAGCCTGCAATTAGTGGGTCCTACAAGTAAAATTTGGCCCTAGATTCAAAAAAAAGTAAAAAAAAACATTTTGTATTTGCATAAGCAGTGAGCAAAGAATGAGGTAAATCCATAAAAAGCTCAGCTGGGGTGTGTACTTACTGAACATGCCCTCTAGTCTCACAAAACAGCAGATGTAACTGTCAAAGTCGATGTTAAGGTGTTCGTCTGCGTAGCGCATGGCTATGATGTCGTATAGCTGTTTGTTGAGGTGACACCCTTCATGTGGAGAAGACAGATACGGTTTGTGGTCGACAGTTTATATCACGTTACAGGTTTCTAACAAGACACTGGAAAATATGGACTGTCAAAAGCTGTGAACAAAACTGGGAATTTAATATAAATTTATATTGCAAACCGTAATCTTTTCCAAATAATCAGCTGTGGAAAAGCATTGAATCTAAAAGTGTAAATATACAGTATGCAATGAGAAACATCCTGTGAGAGGTTAATTCTTAGAGGTATTTCTTTCATGCTGCCCACCTGCGTCGTTAACAGCGTTCCTCATCTCAAAACTACTGATGGAGCCGGATTTGTCTTTATCGTATCGTTTGAAGATCAGCTGGAAACACACGAGGAGATGCACAGTCAGATGTTTGTTGAACACGAGCAGAGGCTCTAGGGTTGTTACAATGGTCCTACCTGCCACTCCTTGATCTTTTTCCACAAGTGTTTGAACTCCTGCAGGTTTAGCTTTCCCGTCCCATCAGTCTGAGAGAGATCACTTATGGAAAAACCAACACACATATTTTTAAATATATGTGTATATCTCTGAGTAGCAATTTGGGATGCATGATTGTAAGAAACTGGCTGTATAGATAAAGTTGAGTTGAGAGTATATTTTACAAAATTTACTATTTACCATATGCATCCATAAGCCTTACCTCAAAGCACCATTGTTGTACAGTCCTCTAAAATACTGACTTGTTTTGTTTGCCTGTACTAGCACTGGGCAGCTCTACTAAGCAACTGAGGATGGACAGCACTGGTTATTTCATTGCCTCTAGAGGGATTCAAACCAATAACCTGCTGATGTCAGGCCTAGGCAACACTAGGCTTCTCTGTTGTCGTCTCCATATAAACTGAAAGGATACATCCATCAATGCGATCATACTCCGACACGTCTCAAGGCTGAAACCCTCCGTCTTCACTTCATTATCTGGAGAAAAGGACAACTCGATATGATCGATCACATGGACACCGACTATATAATGATGATCTCAACCTTTCTGGAGCACTCACGTTTGGTGAGTACGTTCCTCATGATCATCTTAAGTTCGTTGGCACAGATTTGCATGTCCTGATGGAGGGAGGATAAATTTGTTGCATAGCCTTATAACACTCAGTCATCCACACCTGTCCTGTATTATCCTCGTCCTCTCTCCTCTCTGTGTACTCACCTCACCAGCAATCTGTTGGTAAATGGCTCTGAACTGTTTTTCCTCTTCAGTCTCCTCCTCTGGTTGGAGTTGTTTTCGCTGAGGGACACGTAAGAGAGAAGTACATTATAAAGTGGGTGACAGCTTTATAAGTTTTAAAACCTAAAGTGTTATGTCTTTTATAGGACTGACATGTGTTTGGACCATAGGTATGGACAAGGTTAAAGCTAAGCTTGGCTAGTTAGCTTTACTAGTTTATCTGGTGTTCCTTTTTTCTCAATTGTGATTACATTTAGCTTAATGCGATGTAACAAAATCAATTACCAACATTTTGAAGGATCAAAAAAAGTTTTTTTTCTAAGGCTAGCTGCTCAGTCTCTGCAGCTTGGTTTAATTGCGCTGCAGTATAAATAACACTACACTATAGGGATTGATGCATTTCCTCATAGTACCAGATGAGAGCAGCACATTAGAGAAAGACATAAACAGCTTAGCCCGTATACACTGAGGCCTTACAGGAAAACAGGTGCAGTTGAGCCACTTGGGGTCACTTGGCCTCAAATTCAATTGTTTTATTCCCAGGGATGTTATTTGACCTGGTCAAGATTGCATTTCACAGCCGTCAGTCTCACTGGGAGCTATTTGCTGCGTGGCTGCAGTGTCAACGTTTTGGCTCCTACAGCAAGGAAATTACCTTCGGCTTCTTCTTCTTCTTCTCCCCCTGAATGCCGTCATGCTCGATTTCTTTGTTGGCTCGTGCTCTATCTGACACAAATACAATCGGCTGGCATGTGGATAACGGCAAAAGACAAACAAAAACAGAAGAGAGAGAGTTAATTTATAGTTATTGTAACAGTTATAATCTATATGTGTACTGTAATGATGACACAAACTATAACTACCAACATTGATAACAGCTGACATATAATGGAGAGTATAGCAGTGGGGAAAACAGAGTTCAAAAGTCATCTAACAATGCTAATGCTACATGCATTACCTTCTCTTTCTTTTTCTGGTCTTGCTGATAGCCAATAAGACAAGGAAGGACAGAAGGATGAAATGAGATGGAAAAGGAGGAAAACACTTTTCAAGTCTGTTAGTTACTCTTGTTGGAAAAAGAAAGAGTACAGTATGAATTGGGACAAAGACGAAGAGAACAATGTTGATGAAATGCGTGTGTGACACTATTGGGGTTTACAAATGATGAAATTCAAACTGATATTGCAGTGTGAATTAGCCTTTGCACTGCACTCTTTTGGCACTGTCCATATAATCAGCCTTTTTGAGAGGAAGTGGGAAGCTTAATGCCAAGGATACTTTGTTTTAGTATTAATGTCTCATTTAGGTTTGGGTAAAAGTGGTAAATACTTCCAGAGGAGCGTTATGGCTACGAGTAAAAAGATTATCCTGCATGGCCTCAAAGAAATATCCCTTTTCACAGACACTTTCAGCTATCTCTGCTCCATAAATAAAGAAAGACAGAAAGAGAAGGGTGGAAAATACTGGATGAAAATGTAATATTCTAGTCCTAATGTTTGTGTTCTACATCCCATCCCTGTTAAATCTGAAACGTTATAAAAATGAGTCAAACAAAAAAGCTTTTCAACAAAAATCTGGCCTTTTAAATACATTTTAGACAATAGACGGTGTCTTGACAGTCAAGCCTCTTTAAACACCAGAAATACTAATATGAGGAGAGAGGGAGAAATCCCACCATTAAGTGATTCAAACCATGTCAAAAATAATTTTGAAGGCATTATAGTTGAGCGTACTTGTCTGCTTTAGTCATTTCACTTCTGAAATATCAGTCAGAATTATCAAAATATGTTTTGATCCCACTATTTTCATTGCAAACCTGCGTTTTGTCAGACCCGATGGTGTTCTCCGCTTCCCTGTGAGGATAAACAGACACATTAGAATTGCAATTTTGCTGTTAACAATCCCCAAAATAACATGAACTATGGCACAACCGTCAGTGATCCTTACTCAGACGTGCTCTTCTTCTCAGAGAAGACCCTCAGAATGAACTCTCCATCTTGATGGGCTTCAAATGTTGTGGGGATTATGACATACTCTCCTGGAGGCAGATGCATACGCTCCGTCACCTCCCGCAGGTTAATGTAGGTCTTGCATTTAGCTTTGGAGGCTGTGTACAGGAAGAAGTCCTTCTGCAGGTGTTGATTCTGTCCACACATCTGTGGATGGAAACAAATCATTTGGTCAGAAAGGAATGAGCTCTGAAAATTGGGACTCTCTTGCCAAGACTTAGACAAGAAGATTGAGAAGACCACTCTCATGTCTGTACGGTAAATATGAAGAGACTGTCTGCAGCTGGTTAGCTTAGTTAGAAATAAAGACTGGAAACAGAGGGAAAGCGCTTGCTTGGCTCTTTGCAATTATAACAAAATGTCAACTAGCATCTCTAAAGTTCACTTATCAGCATTTATTTCTTGTTTGTGTATTCTGTTCATATACCAAAGTTTAACATATACTAGTGCAGTGATTTCTTGGAGTCTTGTCTCACTGTGTGCCAGAAAGTGACTGCTCCCAGCCAAGAAAGGATTTAGACAGAGCCAAGCTAGCTGTGTCCATGCTAGAGATAGGCTAGTGTTTCACCCAACGTACATCAGATCTCTGGAACTGTAGGGCAGTTTAATATTATTTATTTGCACCAAAAATGTAAAAAAGCAAAACATTGCGTGCATCATTTATCATGCAAAAGAAGTTAACAAAATATTTGCTCGAATGTGAGGATTTGCCAGTTTTATCAGCTTTATATCCGTGGAAATGGTCTTCTAATTTGTCACTGTTGGTGGGATGAAGCAAGCAGTTTGATTGGGCTCTGGGAAATTGTGAATTGCATTTACTTGTATTTTCTGACATTTTGTTGACTCAACAATTAGTAGAATAATCCAAAGATAATTGACAGATTATTCAAGGATGTAAATAATCCTGTACTTTGTACACAAAGTATTTGGCTTGTGTTGTAAGGTGTACATGGAGGTTCCACAACCTGAACTATTACTACCACTACTACCACACGTACAGCTCAATCAAACACACAAACACAACTATCTGGAGATACAGGTCAATACTGTGAAAACGCTGACTTCATTAAACTAACGTCCTTCTCCAACATGGGCATACCTCCTTCGGCACCTGCAGACACAAAGAAGAAGTCAAAGAAGAAGTTAATCTCCAGTGGATGAACATCAGTTTATCCAGGGATTTAGGGTTCATGTGATCAGCACCTCGTAGATTGAAAATCCGATGGTGAGAAATTTGGCCCCTTGATGGCGCTGCATCCTTCGGCCTTTCTGCATCAGAGCCACGACGACAGTACAGGCCGCCGGCCCGTGCTTTGGGTCGTCATCTTCCTCGTCATCTTCCTCGTACAGTTGCAGTCGATACTGAGGATTCGTCCAGAATGTCTCTGTAAAATAAAAAAAGTAAATCTGCAACAAGGGTGAAGACACACGTGCCACGTGGGGACGTCAAGAACTTGATCAAAATCACTCCTATAAAAGCTGAGGTTAAAAAAAAGCGAAGGCCTACGTGGGAAGTTCCTGCAGCCGCCAGCAGAGCTGCCTCTCACCCACCGACCCTCATTGACCGACACTGTCCAGCTGTGCCTTACATCGCCCTGCAGGGTGTCAGGGGTCAAGTTACACATCTCCAGCTTGGTGAAGTTCCTCTTGAAATCATCAAAAGACATCCTGAAGGGGAACATGAAAGAAGAAGTTCTGTGCAGTTATATTTGGTGAATGATGAGGAGGACTTTTGCAGCTTTTCACTCTTTACCACTAGTAGGGCAAACAAAAAAGTAAAGCGGCTGAGATGGAGTTGTATTGTGTCAGCCTCAGATGCACTTGGACTCAGCTGTGAATTGAGCTGAATGCTAACATGCTAATGGTAAGTACAATGAATATATCCATTTATTTGCACATGTGTGTAGTTATGATGTTAACATACATTTTACCAAATTCTTTAATAACTTGTAAGATTTTCTTTCCCTTTTACTTGGCGATCACACTGCATCAATAAACAAATAATGTCATTACAAGCAAAAAAAAAACAAACCACCTCTTGTTAAGCACTACAATGTTGTGCCAGTGTACTATGAAGTACACCTTCAGAATAGACCACTGAGGTTTAAGCAAAACAGCTGCAAAACTGATGAAAGTATAAAATCAATCTCTTCTTTTTAAGAAGAAGATTATAACACAGTGTTTTACTCACCAGAACTCACTCGCCTCGACAGTCTGTTTTTTGAGGTTGTCTTTGTCTGCGGTGGAAATGGTCGACCATTCCTTTGAGCTTTAGAAAGACAAAATAATATTAATACACAACTTGAAGAAAGAATCTGCCACACATCAGATATTTTGTAATAATTTACATTTTATAATAATATAAAAGGTTACATCATTTTTCCAGGTCTCAGATCTTACTTTGCGCTCCACGGTCCCTTCCACAGCACCCAACCCCAGGGATTGCGCAATCGAATCAGGCGAATTCTGGTGTCATTTGCAACCTCGTCACACTAGAAACAACAACCAAGCTGTCAGCATCACTTTAGCAGGCCTTCTCTTACAAAGAATACAAATCTGGATTTATAGGAAGTGGACATTTTACTGCACCTCCGCCAGGCCTATGATGGAGTAGGCATGACGCCTGACCAGCCCCTGATCAGTCTGAGTCTCCAGTTCAGTGGCTGAAAAAGTCTGACAGATACAACACAAGTCGGTAAATAACACAGATTGGACTTTGAGGCAATACATGTTGCTAAAACATTGTTTTAATTTGGTCATTTATTCTGGATTTTATGGTTAAAATCTAGTTTTCCTACAATCAAGTTAAAGATGTAAAAGCTTGGATAATGAAAGCAAACTGTACACTTTAATTCAGCTTCTCATGTTGTGACAGAATTGTTGAAACAGGCTGAAACGCCTGAAGAAAAGAAATGTATTTGCTGTTTACCATTCAGTTGTGTTGCTGTACGTCTCTTCTAATGTTTTCTTGCTTTGTGTCTCTAATGTTTTTACTTCTGTTTGACTTCTCTCTGTGCACTTCATTTCACAGCTTTCATCTCCACTCACATCTATGGAGCAGCCCATCAGCGAGCCTCTCTCCAGTGCCTTCCTCATGATGGTGAAGAGCTCTTTGGGTGCCTCGGACAACTCAAAGAACTCAGTAACTCCTCCTGTGAAATCCTCCATGGCTTCCAAAGTGTTGCCCCCTTTAAGTGCCTCATAAGACCCGTGCAACCTGAGAGAGAGAGGTCAATCATTCTGGTCAATGCGATGATATGTCATGGCTTGGATTTTTCGCAGTGTCTGCAGCCAATTTTAAAACATGAGGACGGAGGAACGGTGTGACAGTTTGTGTTGCTGCATTGCAAACATTGATATGACATTTAGCTCAAAATTGGATCTTAAAAACTTGATATCTGTTTGACAGATGTTTTAAGTCATGTGGCATCACCTCGATGCAGTCATTTTCTATTCCTCAATACTTTGACTGATAATAAACATTCATCAAAAACTGCATTTAAAACACCTGAAATGCTTCATGTTCCCATGGCTTTAACTTTTTCAGCAACAAAAAAAGAACTGAAGACTAAATGACTCAATCAACATCATGGAGGTAACTCCCAACTTTGCAGTGGGCGTTTATGGACTGCACTCACTTGGCATAAGCTTTTTCCAAAAGAGCGCTCCAGAACTCGTTATTTCTGAAAGATTTGGTGAACACCAGTTTGTTGTTGCAGGTGGGGATGCGGTCGTCCACGACCACATCGGTCCATTCGCCATAACGCCAGAACTGAGTGTAAGAAGACAGATCAGATTTAAAACAGGAAGTCAGTGATGAGACAGAGAAAACACATTTATCATCGTGCAAAGAAAGGGCCATCTTTCAGATTGTTAGTTGATTCATATCTATTCAAATGAATCTTAGTTTCAATCAACAACTTTTATTTATATTGATATCAATATTTATGAGTTTACAAAATTCTGATAACAATATATGGGCTGCTATTAAAGAATATTGATACCACTCTCATGTCATAAGCTACAGCCAGCAGCCAGTTAGCTTAGCTTAGCATAAAGACTAGAAACAGGGAGAAACAGCCTGACTGTCTAAATATAACAAAATCCACTAAGAAGCATGTTTAAAACCAATTTATCGAATATTTTTAACATGTCTAATATGTCATCTAACAAATAAGCATATTTCCCTAAATGTCAAACTATTTCTTTAATGTTAATCAACTGTATTATTTTTTTAATGGAATTTGGTAATTGTCAGCATCATTGTCACTACAGCATGAAACTTCATGCTTCTTGCACAATGTGCCAAATATCCAAGTAAAACCTGGAAGTGGAAGATGCCGGCGTAGTTGTCAGTGAAGCTCTGGTCCGGGGGAATCACTCTGTACAGCAGCTTCTCGTTTACTGTTAGACAGGCGATGGCAGCCAGCAGCCAGCAGTCACCTGTCAAACAGCAGATTCACGAGCTACGAAAACACTTGATCCAAACATTTCACTTCATAAAGCAGCTGTCACAGATTAAAGCCATATTCCTGCGGGTGTCAGTAGTCAACATAAATTGGGAGTTAAAATATGGCTGATTGGTATTTCAGCGGTCAGGCGTAAGCCTGGCTCTAGTTTCCCACATGTACATGCTGTGCCTTGTATTTTCTGGCCATGTCCCCTAACAGGACGGTTTCTGCTTGCACAGAAGGTACAAGTTGTCTTAAGCTGAGACACATTTGACACTATTAAAAACTTTTTTGTTGAACATCTATCCGGCACCAAAAGCAGCTTCTTTTCACACTTTTCCAATGCTCTTGCTATTGTATTCTTGTTTTTTTTTCAAGTATTATGAACATGCAGGCTTTAACAAGAAAATATGTGTTCTATGTGTTGATATAGAGAAGCCTGGAGAATCAGTGAAAGTAGAGAAGGAAAGACCAGTATTTCATTAATCCAAATACCCAATCCTTCTCTGTCAGTGAGTTCCCAGGCTGTGATGAGGACTTAAGTGCTTTTGAACCACTTGTTTGAAAGCAGAGACGGTTTAAATGTTACCCAATTCTCCTTGACAGATGTCTGTCCTGTTGGCTCCATCTATGATGAACTGGGGGTTTTCACAAATTTCCTGTCATACAAAAAAAAAAAAGATTTCTGAGCATGTTGCAAAATATCAATGCCAGAGTTCAAATCTTTTTTTTTCTTATTATGAAATACCATGGAAGATGAAATGTTGCATGCATTAGCTGTAAAAGCCTAAATTTAGAATATATTGATCTAGTCTCTATAGGAAGTCCACTTTAGAATGTCCTGCAAGATAACATGTAGTCTTTAGTGTCTATATTCAAAAGACTAGGAAAGTAAAAGACAACAAAATAATCATGACTGTAAAACGGATTAATGTCTTTAGGGTTTGGTATCAAACCTCAATACTTTTTAATATCGACCAAAATCTGTAAAATATGGCTTGAATGTCGGGTCAGAGTCATATTCTCGTTTACTTACTGTATTCCTTGAACAAATAGAGGACTTGATTTGAGTGCACATTTTGCCAGTTTTAGATATTATATTAGATCGTTTTTAGATACATTTTTTTTGTAAAACAACATATTTATATTTTTTAAAGCAAGGTATTATAAATTATTAATTCTGGTATTGGTAAACATTTCCACTCCACAACATTTAAAAATCAGCATTTACAAATCTACACCTGCCATGACTGACAATATGAGGATTTGACCCTGAAACTGAAGGCGAGTTGGAGAAATTTCCCTGGCTACATACGCTATTTATGAAGAAGCAGCTGTTGGCTGTCCGCCGGTCACGACCTTTTAGTGCTCTGAACAAGTGGTAATGCTTTGCTGAATGCTCATAACTAACATGATAATCAAACAAGAAACAACACTTTTTTTTTAACAACTTAGATATCCAAAATGACAGTTTTCGGGGGTTATAAAACAGGATAACAATTAGAAGTTTTAATTCAGGGGATTCACGGCAATTAATCTGTTCCCCTCATCACATTATTTACCATAACTAGGTTTAAAAATGCAGCCTCATGTTCCGAATTTAGAGCAGGCTCCACTGCTGAATCCCTGGATGAGATTCATGTATCACTAATCTCTAAATGGCAAAAGCGACATTCATCATTACCCATTAAGTAGCAACCAAGCTGCAGATTCATGTTACACTGGATTTTGTTACTTACCAAGCAGAGATTAAAAAATACAAAATAATCTCCATCTTCAGTTTGGTATTTGTTTTCACTGCTAAGAATTTGAAAATAATTAAAATAGAATCAATTAATGTTGTGGGAATGCATTGTCTTTTTTAAAATATGTGTTAATATCTAGACTAAAGATTATTATACAACTACACAATGACATGAAACTCATGTTATGTTTATACTGCTCATGTATGTAAAGGCAGTGGTTGAAAGTAACAAAATATATGTACTACACGTAAACAATATTGAGGTAATGTACTTTACTTTCTTTTAATGCTACTTCAAGAAACTCTCTTGATAGTTCATAATTTTGGGTATAAATAAGTGTTTTTCTCAAAATGAGAAAATATTCCTTTAATACTTCTACTCCACTACACTTTAAATCTTTAGTTTAATTTAAATATGATGCACTGTTACAAATATTTAACTACAGAGAGTATATAAAGTATAGTTAAACCTCCAACTCGACTAAAACAATAGTTACAGCAATGCTAAAATAATAATGATAATATAATATACATAATATAGCCTAATATATGATAATAATAATAATAATAATATAGTGATTATTATAAGAACTCTCACTTTGAATCCTTAAGTGCTTAGTTATCACTATGTTTCCCAGCATTGGCAGAGGGTGACCTCCTGCGTGAGGTTCAGCTGGCTGTGATTGGAGAAAGTGACAACCCAGAGCTATGCATACACAGCATGCAGCCACTTGACACCCCAGCCATGTGTTGTGAGGAAGTGATGAGATACACGGGGATTTTAGAGAGTTCATCTGAACACGATAGAGTCCCTTTTGCATTTAGAGTAACTTGGCCTAAAGGAGATGATGATTACTAAAGGCTGGCACTCACCGAGGGACGTTTCCACTCGAACTTCATGGAAGGTGTGTGACTGTAGAAGAGTGAGGAGTCATTTGCAGGGAACAGGGGGTCTTCAAACACCACCTTCTTCTTCACGTATTTGTCTCGCAGTTCCAAAAAAGTCTTGAGACGCTTGGCATCCTTGACAGCCTCGTTTCTGCTTAGAATTGCCGAGTAGATGGAGTTAGTACCAGCAGAAGGGTAACCGGCTTTTTCATCTGGCCCGAATGATGCTTCAGTTTCATGAAGCACTCTCACCTTTGTATCTTCAACAAGAGGCACTTTACATTTCTCGTCCCCCATCTTATAAGTGAAAGCCTCGGCCTTTGGTGTTTCTATTTACAAGACAATTTATAAAATGAAAAAAAAGACACTCCTTATTTGCAGAAACAGCATGGACTTGCAAAACAGCCAAAGACGCTTCCTGAGTCCTTCCTGATACTGTTTTACTTTTAGTTCCTTTATTTGCTTGAAATCCTGTCCCCACTCACCGACAGTCACCAGCCAAAAAGCCTCTCACACAGTCACTGTTGTGTCCCTGCTGCTGCGAGGCTGCACCTAAATATAGGCCTCTATAGAGGAGGGGAGAAGGTTGGACACTGACACAACATTTTAAGGTCACAGTGTATTGAGAGGGGGGGGGCTGTGCTGATAATTACTGGAGAGAGAATTTTTGGAGAAATATAATTATGAAAAATGTAGGTCAGAGTCAGGGCATGTACCCAGTGGCTTGTGCACTGTGATACCTCCTTTTTAAATGTATGTAATTTCCTGTACTAAAATGCAATAACACCTATAGTTAGTGCTTACAATTAGCAGCAAATCTGATATTTACTATTAGCTTAGTTTATCTTATTATAATGCACAACACAAGTACCACGTGATTAACCGAATTACAGTTACTCCAAACCTCTGTCCAACATCTATAATATCAGCTATATTGACACCTAGTGGTAAAACAAATGCCTCGGTTCTTCCTTCCGTCAATGGGCTGTTGTGGCTCACTAAACCAACCCTTCATCACAAGTCAGTATTCAGTTGGTCAGATTCTCTGTCAATCCATGCCCATATCAAATAGGAGGAGGGAGGCTGTTGAGCGCAGGATTGCCAGGTTTGACAGAAACCTGCATTGTTGTTTCAGTATAAACCAGGATGAAAGGACCTCTCAACAAAATTGTGCATTTTTTTTTGTTACAAAGTAATGCTCACCGTAAATCAAAAATAATGAGACAATAAGTCAAATGTATGACATCTTAAATCAAAATTACGAGTTGGTAAACTGATTTGACTACTATGGATATTTCGATTGTGCAATCATGACCGTGCTCGAGGGCCTGGGCACAAATGTATTATTGTGCCCCGACTGACCACTGCATCCTACAAGTACCCCGTCACCTTCACGTTCCCATTACATTACAATGTGCACAGCAGCTTCATTATATGCCAAGAGACCGAAAAAATAACCAGCATTCCTGACTCCAGGTTGTCTGTGTTAACAACATGGTATGTCCCCGGTTTACACAATTCAAACCACAATAATTATGTTGAGAGGAAAGGTACAAGAAAAGAACAACCTTTGAGCCAACTTGGACAATAAGTCCTTAAAGTGCTCAGAAAGAAAATCTACAATTCTGTAATGGAGATGAAAAGCTCAGGAAAAGCTACTAAATTGACCTTGTGGTGAGATTATTTTGTTAAATAAAATATGAACTGTGTTAAACCGGATCTTTAATGAATAAGAATACAGTATATACCTTGTTGTACTTGCAAATGTCCTAACAAATGTATAATTAGTCAAGTTTACCAAAAAAAGAAGAAAAACTGACACACAGGGAACCTGGAGCCCCTGGAGGTCCGAGGCCTTTGATTTACAGATACTTGATTTCATCCTGCTTAACTTCAGGCAGAAATATTTCTGTAAATTGAGACACGTAAAGTGGCCTTTATTTAAGATGTTAATAATACCAAACAACCACAGTTGTTATATTCCAGTTGCATCACGGAGGGAACAAAGTGGCAGTGATTCGAACATTGCAGAAGGGGGATGGGACAAACTGTACTTGGCAACCCTACTTGGCTCACAGAGCTCATAGTGCAGTGTGCATCTGCCAGTTGTCGCCATCATATTTGGCTAAATGTCAAGCTAGCCTTCAAGTCATCCAGCCGTTGTGGTCGAGGACACAAAGTTAATGATATCATTAACCTCGCTTTGTTTCTTCTGTCAAGTACCTGTGAGCTGTTATGATGTTGTTATCCGGTGAACGCGTCTAGGACCCGGCGCTGTTATTGTAATAGTGTGTAGTTTAAACGTTACTGTCACATTAGCGGTGGCTAATTTTCAGAGCACACATTAGCTGGAGTCTCGAGAAGCTGCGAAAACTGTCGCTAGCTAGCAGCTAAACTAGCCAGCTAGTTAGCTGGCTGCCTAAATAAGACATCGAGCAACGTTGAAGTGAAGGAAGCAACGACTGTGGACGGTGTTACATTAAGTTAGCAACGCACCTTAAGCTAAGGAGCTAGCAGCGTCACAGAGCTAGCTGCAACTCGGCTGAGAAACGGATGATTTTCAGCTAACAAAGCTAACACAACACGGAGCTGGGACTGGTCTTCTTCGGTGGGGACTCTGCTACACTGGAGCTGGCATCGTCACATCTCCCGTGTCTAAAACGTACGTGTTACTTCTACTCATGTTTGTGTTTATTGTGGCCTTTCCTGTAGCCAATGAAGTGAAGCTAACGTTAACTTTTGCAAAGTGTCAACGGCTATGCAACTTCTGCAACTGTGTTAGCCAGCTATACACCCCAAGTTCATACCATTGCTGTCAAGCTAGTTTATGTAGCACGTTGTGTATTTTACACCCTCAACAGGCAGCGATGTGAACTATGATGATATTGTGTTTTGGCAGCTGGCTGTTGGGCCTGACAACCAAGAAGATGTCTGAGGGAGAGAACAAGCAGGCCTCAGACACTACCCAGGAAGTGAAGGCAGAGTCCATCGCTGCTGCACCCACGGGTCAAACGGTGTCGTCCGTGTCCCCCCCTGTGTCCATGGTGACCCAGCCTCCAGCTACTGCTGCCATGGAGGATGAGGAAGAGGAGAGTGAGGATGAGTCTGAGATTTTGGAGGAAAGCCCATGCGGACGCTGGCAGAAACGCAGAGAAGAGGTACAGGATATGTCTGCAGAGGGGTCAAGTTTACCCTCACTAATGTATAATTAAAGCCTGATGCATTGTTATTGTTGTCTTCCTGAAGGTGAATCAGCGCAACGTCCCTGGGATCGATAATGCTTACTTGGCCATGGACACCGAGGAAGGAGTTGAGGTGGTGTGGAATGAGGTCATGTTCTCAGAAAGGAAGAATTTCAAACTACAGGAGGTAGGTGCAACGCTAGGTTGATGGAGCTAACTTCCCCCCTTTAGCTTTCAGGTCCTTAGGTAAGTGGTCAGACATGTTGCTACCAGCACCGTAGCAAAGTACACACTGTACCTGAGTAGTTGCAGAAACAAGTTGTATACATTTGAAGGAGAGGGATTAAGCAGACCAGAAGAAGTCAGATTTAAGGCTCCAGCTTTTGCAATTTTTTTGGTATTTTAAGTTTGGTATTTAAGTTTCAGAAATGGCTTCAGATCCAGTATGTTGCTTTCTTTTCAATTTAAATCATGGGAGAGTATTTCTGTGTTCGATAGCTACTGGGTGCGCTTGAGCAAGGCTCGGTAGCGACCAGTTAGTGCAAACTGTTAAGATTAATCTGCATATGACTGAAAGAACATGGTGTTCTCAGTCTCATGGAGCTTTTAAAATGTATTTAGTTCCAAATTAAAAGGCTCATCATGGTCTGTATGGAGTAAAGCACCAGACCCAGAGGTACTATTTTAGACATTTACAGCTGTGGAATTAGCATTTTAGCGTGCACTTAAAAGGCTGTCTGTCTGACCTGCTGACCAATAGAAGCCCGACATGGATGGAAAATGCATCGTTCAGTTGTATGCTACTGTTAACATATTTACATTATGTATGCATTTAAATGTGAATTGAATGTTGTCTGTTGTTTTTTTCCGCAGGAAAAAGTCAAAGCGGTTTTTGACAATCTGATCCAGCTGGAGCATTTAAACATTGTGAAGTTCCACAAGTACTGGGCAGATGTGAAGGAGAACAGAGCGAGGGTGGGAGATCGTTAAAAAATAGCTGTTTTTATCAAATCATGTAGAAAGTGTGGAGTGTAATGGCTTTCATGTTGATCCGTTTGCATTTGTTTTGTCTGCAGGTCATATTCATCACGGAGTACATGTCCTCAGGAAGTCTCAAACAGTTTTTGAAAAAGACGAAGAAAAACCACAAGACCATGAACGAAAAGGTGTGAAAGCTCTGCTGTAACTCATCAGATTACTTTAATAGGAAGTTACTACGAAATGACGCTGACAAGTCGAGAACAGTAGATTAAAAAAAACATTTAGTCTGTTAGGGTTTTTTTTTTAAACATTTGTTTTGTATTTACTTTTATGCTCTGACAGGCCTGGAAGCGCTGGTGTACACAAATACTCTCTGCTCTTAGGTAAGTAGAACAACAACTTTCTGTGAGCTACTTGGCTTAAAGAGTAAATTGTCGTGTAGGGCTTTGGCACAACTCAAGATTCCAAATGTAAAGTTGTTGCTGGCAATCAAATCATATTTGTCTTGAAAGTGATTTGTACATTTTACAACACATTTATTTGTTCTGTGGTGTGGTAACGGATGTTGTATTGACTTTACCCTCGTTCTCTTGTCTCCAGCTACCTGCACTCATGTCAACCTCCCATCATTCACGGCAACTTAACCTGTGACACCATCTTCATCCAGCACAACGGCCTCATCAAGATCGGCTCAGGTAGACCTCATTTAAAGATCCGGACAGTGGAAAGCCACTGTTATGTCCCTCTTTTCACACATTTTTAGCAAGTTATTTTTAGTGCTAGGTCTTTTATTAACTTTATTATTATTAAGGCTTTTCCACTCTATTTCAGTTGCTCCAGACACCATCAATAACCATGTGAAAACCTGCAGGGAAGAGCAGAAGAGCCTTCATTTCTTTGCTCCAGAATATGGAGGTACGATCTTGTCATTAAAGGTTCTCTCTCTCTCATCCCTGTGTCTCTGTATGTCTCTCTCTCTCTTGTCTCTGTCTCTCTCATCATCATCATTTTAAAAAGATCCTGTAATTTGTGTCATATCATTGTGATGCGCGTTAGCGTTTCTGGATATTGATCAGCTTATCTCTGCTTTCAGCTGTTGCCAATGTTACCACAGCGGTGGATATCTATTCCTTTGGAATGTGCGCCTTAGAGGTGAGAGGTTACCTTGTTCTGCTCTGAGCAGTTAGTGACAAACATAACCACTCATTGTTTTGTTTGAGAAATGTGCTTGATTGGTATTGTGCTGTATTATAAAATGTGAATATAAATATGAATCACTTCCGATCAACACCCTACTTTGTCCGATCTCTTCCTCAGATGGCTGTGTTGGAAATCCAGAGTAATGGAGATTCGTCCTATGTGTCACAAGAAGCCATAAACAGTGCCATCCAGTTCCTAGAGGACCCACTGCAACGGGTTAGTGAGTGAGGGAGACGCAAGCATTGGAAGTCTGTTTGGAAGAGAAATCCATAACCTTGCGTTTTTTACCCCGTGCTTTCTCAGGAATTCATCCAGAAGTGTCTGGAGGTCGACCCCAGTAAGCGACCCACAGCGAAGGAGCTGCTGTTTCACCAGGCCTTGTTTGAGGTGCCCTTACTCAAGCTGCTGGCTGCACACTGCATCGTCAGCCACCAACGTGAGTCACAGTGCACACATACACACAATGTTTTATCAGTATGATTTTTCCCACGTTGAAATACGGAACCCGTCCATGTTTTGTGGGTGTGACTTTGTTGAAATAGAATAAAACTCATCAAAACCATCGAATGGTTCCCAGTGATTATCGGAGTACGTTACGCTTGAAATGGCCATATCAAAAATACACAATTCAAACGATTAGGAAAATAAATGATTGTATTTTTAATTGAATATTTGCTTTGATTAAAAAAAGTCTTTGCATTAGAAGTTTTAATGATGTATCATAAGCTGCTTCGAGCTGTTGTAAGTGAAGCCGTGATGCAAATAATTTAACCCACTGCGGACATTCCCGATTATTAAATGCTAAAACAACATTGTGGGTGGACGCTCGTATCTGATTGGTCTTCTGTTTGTCTGTAGATATGATTCCAGAAAATGCTTTAGAAGAGATGACAAAGAACATGGACCCTAACTTGGTGATTGTTGAGGTCAAGGACGGAGTTCAGATGAAGTAAGTCTGAGTAAAACCACAAAACTGCTTTTTAGTTTTTAATTGAATAAAGATTTAGTGACACTAGGTCCTGATTGGCTAAATATTCAGCATAAGTAATGTTTGTTCTTCCACTTCAGGCTCTCTCAGTTTCCTGCCCTTGAGCTCGACAAGTTCCTGGAAGATGTGAGGTAAGATTCTGGCTCGGATGCCTCGATCTACAAGTGAGATTATGTGAGAAAATGAAATGAGAGTTGCTCACTCTTTACTGCAACAACAGACTGAGGACAAAAATGAGAAATTGTTGTCGTATTATTGCAGTTGAATAAGAGCAACGCCTGAAGTAGAGCCTCATGTGTACATTATAATGCACATGTATGGTCAGCAAAGCCTTCATAGACTGCACATCATGAAATCATTTGCAATCATCTTGAAGGCGTCGTCTCTTCTCCGTTGGCGTAATAGGAATGGGATCTATCCTCTGACTGCGTTTGGCGTTCCCTCTCCACAACAACCCCAGCAGGAGACCGTGAAGTCGCCCATAGTGCCCCCCTCGGTGAAAAGCCCGACTCCCGAACCTGCAGAACTCGAGACCAGGAAGGTAAGAAGTGCCATGCAGATGGGCTCAAAAATAAGATTTTATATTATTTATATGATTTCAAAAACTGTTAGCTTGGGTTGCAACTATCAACTATTCATGGGTTTAGGGATTTGCATTTAGTTCTTCATTTGTGTTCCACCTCATCATTTTCTGTCCATATTCTGAGTGTCAAATATATTCAGCACTTTTCCTTCACAGGTCCTTCAGATGCAGTGCAATATTGAGCCTGTTGATGAGGGAACCAAGCATCATGTAAGCTTCAAGTCTGATCAGTCATAAACTGTTTCTGCTTTCAGTAACTGTATTTCATACATGAAAGTGCTCTCTGTTGTTCTGGACCGTAGAATAATATACCTTAACTTCTTCTCCTTCCAGCTGACCTTGTTGTTGAAACTTGAGGATAAACTGAACAGGCACTTAAGCTGTGATTTGTTACCAAGTGAGTATCTTGCAGTATGCACACATTCATTTACCATATCACCAGCCTTTAGTTGGGGGGAGAGAGATGAAGAATAACATGCAACAAATGCACATAAACGGAGAAAACAAATGCAACACTAATGCTCAAACTTCCACACTGCACCTTTAATCACATGAGTACTTGTGTTCAGATGAGAATGTGCAGGAGCTGGCTGTGGAGCTTGTTCAGCTGGGATTCATCAGTGAGGTAAGTGGAGTTCATCATCATTACGCTGCCGACCCGATGAGTCACCACAACCTCCGAGATGTACGTTTAACCTCACCGTCTCCACATTTCAGGGCGATCAGCCACGACTCGCATCCGTTCTTGAAGAGGCCTTTTCAAAGTTCTACAGCCGGAACGGTTCCCTCAATCCGGTGACTGTCTCCTCGTAGCGGAGGACTCTCTGGGCCTTCTGTCGGCCCTCCTCGTGCTCCACAACAGGACTAGCTTTCTGCTCCGCCTCTGTGTTGCAGGACAGCTTTGTGAGGACAGAGGAGGAAGCCTTTGGTCTGGTTGCACATCCTGCAGCCTGTCGTGTCTCCTGGTGGGAAAAGCTGCCACTAAGTGGTTGTCGCTGTCAATCTTTTTTTATTTCTTTCTCCCACCCAATACAGCCATCTGCTTCTCTTTTAAAAGAAGAAATCCAAGTCGCAACTTAAAGGAAAATACAAATGTTTTCACTTTTCTGCCACTTATCTCTTTGAGTGAAGAAAGAGGTAAGCTCCATTAGACTGGATGACAGCAGTATTTCCCTTAAGTCAGTATTAAAACTGTATTTAAAATATTTTTACTGAAAACTGTTCAATAGTTGTCCGTATAGAAAACTGTTCAATAGTTGTCCGTATAGAAAACAATAATCTTTGTCCCGGCATACTGAAGTGTATGTATTATGGTGTTGTGAGGTAAAGTCTTGTCTGGTCCTTTAAACGTTCTCTTCAGCAGCGACTGAGGAATCTTCCGACCTCGTATCGGTTCTTGAAGACTCTCGAATGCATCGAGCTGCTTAATGCGACGGCTGCGACGTCACTTTTCCTTCAAAATCCTGTAATTATACAAAGAAGTCATGAAATCTGCAGCTGCAACACAATTTGAAGAGCTGTAGCTAAAATATATAGAAATCTAAGTATTTATTTGTGTGTTTTTCTTGTGAGTACTGTCATTCACTTCCAGCACTAAGGCCGGTGGGTGTTTGAATGTATGCTTTCATTTGCTACCTTTTTCTTTAAATCGTTATTTTGCTTCGAGAAGAGGAAGTCATCACTTGACTGTGGTCCAACTACGACTGTAGCTTCTGTATCCAAGCAGCTCGTTCCAGCGCCAGTCGATTAGGTCTAGATTAATAATAAGTTGTCTTTAGGGGATGTTTCACACAGGAGAGGTTGGTTAGATTCATGTGAAGATGGTTTTGCGTTCCAGCACATGATCTGGTTCTCAAGAGGTTTAGTGAATGCATGTATGCTTTTCTATGCCTCAAAGGAAACCGATGCGTGCAACAAGCTCTCTTCTGGAGTTTGTTTCCGTCTCATTGGCACATCGATGGTGATAGTTATGTAATCATATAGAGGAAGTTCTATCAGCTTAGGCCGGTGAGCGTTGTGATCGTGTGACTCTGAATCGTTTGGTTTCTTCGTGGCTGAGGTATTCTGCGTGACACCAGAGCTAACGCTTTGCCCCCGCCATATAGATATCGGCTCATGTCCCCCTTCTGTGTTACCTGTTTGGGGAACTCTGTTAGTTTGCACTGCTGTACACTTTTATATCCTTTTATGGAAATGTCCTGTGGCCTCTGGCTGCTTTACTTGGATAAATTGGATATGGCATCATTCAAAATGTCAGCGATCGAGTCTGCTCTATGCTGTGACACTACTTTTTTGACGGGTCTGTAGATGCTTCGAGATACAAGTGTGGAACTGCCTGGCATGCTTGTAACCATCTTGTACACTGTAGGCTAGAACCAGTGCTCTGTTTCTGCGATGCATTTACCTTCTTTTTCACTTCCTGAAATAAATATTTACACTTCAGCTTTTTAGTTTGGTGTCAATTTTCATGATCAAGGAAAGTGAAAGAAGATTAAAGATGGGAGAATGTGTTATTTCTGATGTCGGCAAAAGTCATAAAAAGTCGGATACTATCCTACGTAAACATATTAAAAACGCCAATGATCGCATGTCGAAAAATTCTTTAAAAAGTCCTAGTATTATGTCGGAAAAATTCCTGGTGTCGTATGTTAAATAGTATAGTACATGTCATGATGTAGCATGTATGTTATAAAAAGACAGTGTATAGTGTGTTGAAAAAAGGCATAAAAAAATAGATACTATTTGTAGGAAATTGCATTTGAAAGTAAAATGTGTATGAAGTTGTAACTCGCATTCTAAAAGTAAAACAATGTACACACAGAAACCAATTGAGACAAAATTCAATCGTTTAAATTATTTATAGAAAAAAACCCATCCTGGAGTATCAGGAGCATGAGCTCTGCCCTCCGAGCATCACTGTTTGACTTCGTTATTTGTTCAAAGTTTTAAGAAACTGTAGCCCTTGTACAAGTAAATTCCTGTACGTAAAGTCACAATGTGTGCTCAAATAACAGTTGAATAAAACACATTTCATGCTGACAAACACATTGCCGTACAAAATTACAGCAGTATAATAAAGGTACAGCAAGACTAAAAAATATTTTTGATATAAAACACTCTAGAAACACGCTCTAAATAAAAAGCTACCAAAATGGCGACATCCAGTTCATGAGTGTTTTTCCGCTGCGTGGGTCTTTTTCAATTCTGTACAGTGAGTAAAAACAAAAAAACAATCTACAAAAACAGTACATAGCACTTCAATTCAAACACATTACTTTTCACATTAAATTTGTGTTTTACTCCCCAGTTTGAAAGTAATGTATATTAGGCACAGTAATTAAATTCATGAACCATGTTTGGTTCCTTGTTTTTCTCCCCTTCAACTCGTTACCGAGTCTAATTGAGTCACACTTTCTCTCTTTTCCAGAGGTTAGTTGAAACAAAGGGTGATAGTTGCTGCTGAGCGTGAGCTTCTTTTACCGCATCGTTTGTCTCCAACAATTAAACATTGCTGCACATTGTTCTCAATACCGGACCGCTGCCACGAAGCTTCACATGTAAACGACACCCGTCGGATTGAAATGTCTGCAACTCTGAAGGCTCTCGTTCCAAAACACACTTTAGATTTGAAGCTGTTAATTTAATTTTAATTTCAGCACAATTCAAATAATCATTATAATCCATTATTTACAGGCACACTTTCCTTAAATATTTAGCATTTGTTGATGTCAGGTAATATTTATATTAATGTTTTTATGTTTGTAAATAGAATATTGTTTGGACCTTATATTTGTGTTTTATCAAACACCATCAAAACTAGGTTTTGGGGTTAATTCAATATCATTTATCATCTCTCCATATTCATATTGAGACGTTCTGAACAGTGCAGTTTTACCTAAATCTGTCGCAGCATGATATCTTAATAATTTACGGGTGTTTTTTCACTAAAGACATTTTGACTTGTCACGGTACGAAGAGCACAGGTATTGCCATTATTGTGGGCTTATGACAAGTCAAACTATCTGCTGGGAAAAAGGCTTATTTATGGAAACTCATTCCCACCAGTAACAGAGAATACAAATCCAAAAACGTAGCCGTAGCCGAAAAAAAAGACCCTGTAAATCATGACTAGGGCTGTCGCAATATCAGATTTTCACAACAGGATTATTGTGTAGGGATGGGTAACAAAACCCGGAATGGGCACCAGTGCTAAATTATTAGACTGCAGTATTGATAAGCTTCTATGTTATCGGTTCTTTTAAACGTGTTGGTGTTTCTTCAGTCAGTCGCTCTAAACTTCAACCAGTATCGGATGTTGGGATTATTATTCATTTCAGATTGTTTCCAGTGAGATCTTATGGAGTTTATATCGTGACTTTACTTTTGTATGTATTACTGTTGCTGCTCCAGAAACATTTAGTTGTATTTTCAATATGATTTAATCCTAATCGTGTTCTGAAATTAATCTCTTTTTAAATAATATATTAAAAGCAATTCTCTTTTAAGAAATCCATAGAAAACTTGAAAGAAGTTCTGAGTGAAAGTTACCTTTAACTATCCATTGTCAGTGTCACTGCTATGTCATCATTTTGAGATACTTGGTACTTATTTTGAGAGTTTCTTATTATAATGACTTACAGGATCTTTCTTTTTTCACCACATTGCCAGAAATGGTTTTCCATACTTGTGAGATCATTTTGTTCTAACATATACTAAAAATCATTTGACTCAAAGGGAAACAAAAGATTAAAAAAATGATACCATGTTATTTTAAATATCCCTGCAGATCAAAATCATTCTATGTAATTAAAACAAAGGTTGTTATAGTCCCTAAAATCTTTAAACTTTGTAAGTATAATACTTTTGATAGCAACATAAACAACGTGTGACGTTCTACTGTCATGCCAAGAAAATATATTGTACAGAGTTAATCGGTCTTTTACGGTCGGTAATTTAGTGGGTCTGCAGGGTAGCGTGACTCATCCGCTGGTACATTCTAAACATATCCAGAAATCGTCCATTTCGACAAATCTTTAGGGTCTGAATTTGAAGAAATGTGCTTTTTTTTCTCTCTGTTGCATCCCAACTTGATGGTTCATGCTGTATCTTAAGCCGCTGCTCTGCATATCAGATTTCTTATTTTGGAGTGAAACGCTTCAACCCAATGTAAAAGTTAGCACCATCAGTGCAGCGAAAGGCATTCAACTTGTGGCGGCTCATTCTGGTTCCACTCATGGCTGGAAGTAGATGACCTCATGGTGTCATTTAGCTCTGTAATAAAGATCCATTAGCCCCCTTTCCCTAATGTTTCATGACAGAGGGGTCTGAGGATCGGAGAAAGGCGATGACATCCTTTATTTCTTCAGACACTGGTACATCAGTGCTCGTGGATTCAGCATGTAGCGCTCAGAGCTGAGTAACTTGGTGAGATACTGCGGCACCGGAGGCCGAGGAGCCATGTAGGACACTGCGGGACTGACGGCCATTACCTCCGCAATCTTCTGCTTCATCTCCTTGATCTCCCGGTCCTGCCTCATCACTTTATCTGCCGGACAAACAAAGGTAATCCATGAGTGTGTGGAGACTGCAGGATGTGGCAATCCATAATTTAACTATCATGTATGAAAAGCTGGATTCTTAGGGGTTATTCTTTTCATTTAAGTATTAAGAAACATTGTGCGCAGAGTCACACAACACAGGCGCTGAGAATACACATACATTTAAAGTTAAGTTGCACAAGGACACAAAACACACGAAGAAGAAGAGTGGGAACCTTGAGCGATTTCCAGCTGCCGGCGGGCGTCTCCCAGAGCGGAGAACAGGTCCAGTTTGATGCGAGTCTCTGCGCTCAGGTTGTACTCCAGATGTTGAGCCTTCTCCTGCATGGCCGACAGAGTGGACAGCAGCATGTCTGTCTCTTTCTCCACACAGCGGTACTTTCCCAGAGCCTGAGTCCGGAAACACATTGACCGTAAGAACACGTGTAAAATGTCTAAACGTCAATCATGTGCCATGACCACCTGAGGGATTATGTGCGTTGGTTTCTTAAGTATTGTTTTTTATTTCATAAAGACGAGTTCAGGCTCATCGACTTAAGAAACCAATGCGCCGCAGAGAGAAAAGAATTTCCATGATGAATTGGCCAGCCATTCAAAAAACACGAAAGCTGCACATTTGATTAGATATTACGTACGCTGAGGGATGATTGTTTCTGCGTTAACATTGACCGTTAACATTTTTGAAGGAGGTGACCTGTACTTTGAAACTTTCTTAAAGCAGTGCAATGTTTTTATGAAAGACCGGGCTTTTGTTTTCAGCATGCTTCATGGAGAGTGTGCACATTAAATCAATTACCAAACATTACAACAATGTACACGCCTGATGTAAAAGACAACAAAACAACCATACAATATTACTGCATACTGTTATGATGACAAAGTGCAATATGTTGACTGCAGGCCAAAACAAAATAGAAAAAGAAAAACACTAAATGGTCCCGATGAACAATTCAGTTTTCTAATCGATTTTTTACGAACACAAAGAATTACAGACACAAAAAATTAGAACTCAAACAGCAAAACAACTACATGACCAAACTGAGGACAACCAAGTACTGGATCACAGACATTTAAACTCACAAGCTCATTCCCAAATAGTGTAGAAAGATACCTCAACATCACTCTCTAGCTCTACCACACGACTCTCTTTCACTTGACACTCCAGCTGTAGTTGTTTGTACTCTGTCTCTAGATCTTTAACTCTCTTCCTTAACATTTGGGTTTCACAGTGTTCCTGCCTGGTGTAGGAGATGGAGAGAATAAGAGTTTTGAGCAGTAGGAGAGGGGTTTTTTTACTGGACATGAAGACCAGTTCACACAGAAAGAAAGATGACATTTCATTTGCATTGTTTTTTTGTTGTTTATGTTACACACATGTAATGTAGATGGTTACATAAAATGCAAAGTAAATGTAATGTGTGCATTAAAGAAATAGCTATTAAAAAAATAGGCTTATTCACTTTCTTGCCAAGACTTAGATGAGACAATTGATACCCAGGCGGGGGGGAGTAACTGTTTACATGGAACGGCGTCACGTAATTAGGATACAAAGAAAGGTTTCTGTGCTCTGTTACAGTTACAGATAAAAGGGAGAAATCCCATTAGAACTAGTAACTAGTAATTGTATTGAAATGTATTTTTTGAAGTAACCCTCCTAACCCTGTTGATGCCACTGTCATATCTGTACTTTCAAAATAAGACGACAGTTAAAATGACCTAAGCTTAGCACAAAGAGTACTGAAAACACTTATCTCCCTCTTGGCAAGAAAGCAAACAATAATAACTCAAAGTATTTCTGCAGATGTTTGGCCATACACTCACAGCTGTATTTAATTATACTAATGCAGATCCAGCTTTAATTCCCGGGGCAGAAAGCCACTTCAATAACGAGGACTTTTAAAGGTTCGATAGCTGTGATTTACCTGTTTGTTAGACTCCGTGCCATCATGGCGGCTTCCTCCAGTTTCTGAGCCTGAAGCTCAGCCAACTGTTTCTCCACAGAGAGTCTGGCCTCCGTCTCTGCTCTGGTCTTCTTCTCCAGCATCGCACTGCTCTGTTTGTCCCTCTGCTTGGTTTTAGTCAGACACAGAATCCTTGAATGAAAAAGCAATAATCTCACTTTACATAATGCCAGAAATAGGACCACATCCAGACGGACTGGTTTGCGATTAACTTCACATGTGTCTCTGAAACAGACAGAATCCTTGTAGTTGCTGGGGAGCACCTTTGCTTTAAAAACTGGAGCATGTCTCATTAGACGTCAACAAGAGAAATGCATTGATTACACAGGAAATGAAATAGCATGATCAAGCATGATTGTGTATTGGTAGCCCCAAAACATAGACGTGAAGTATGAGCCACAATCCCTCAACGTGAAATATGACTTTATATGATATTAATTCTCAAAAAGAGATCCAATCATCATCAGCCCACACATGGTTTGTGTTCACACAGATAACCATAGCCCTGGCGGCAGATCTGCATGCAATCATCCCCGTGTTTATAGACGGATGTAATGTGGACAACGGCCCACAGAAGGAGCCAGAGACAAGCTTTCAGCAGTGGATCTGGAGGATGACTCACTTGCTCTGGAGTAGCATGTTAGACTGTCTGAGCAGGGAAACCTCTGGTCTCAGGCTCCTCTCGCTGTTCGTCAAGTTGCAGATGTGACTTCGCAGCTCCTGCTCGCTCTGCCGGCTCACCTGCAGCTCGCCCCTCAGCCTCCTCAGCTCCTGCTCCAGCCTGAAAGGAAATTACAGGGAAAGAAAAGAGATTTTTCTAGCTTTAAATTCACCGACACGTGCCTAGTTTATAACCGAAGGACGTTAATGGTGGCATACTTGGTCATCTGCTCAGCGTGGTGATTCTGAGCTGCCGCGGCACTCTTCTCTGTTGTGTCTTGGTTGAGGCAGAATGTTTTCGAGCTGGATCTCTGCTTCTTCTCCGTCCTCCTCGTCGGGGGTGAAGGGGTGTTTGTGCTGCCTCTGCGGGCTTTTGGCGAGGAGCCTTTAGCCGCCCTTGTGGCTTTGCTCCCTTGCTCATCTTGAGGTAGATTTTCGGGGGTTGTGGAGGATTCTGGTCCTCCTGCCCCACAGTGGAGCAGATCCCTGGACTCACCAGGTTTGGATGATAACGGCCGCCGGTTTGATTCAGCTGACCTCATCTCCGGTGTTCCCTTCTCCGTCGCTCTCTCCTCGCTGCGGATCTGGAGGCAGTCCACAGTGTGCACCTCGTCATGGGCCACTACAGTGCCGTTCTGACACTGGTACTGAGTCGACTCAGGCTTTATCTTCCATTTTGAGCCTGCAGGTACAGGTAGAAACAACCTAATAATAAATTAACATTATGTAATACATAATTGTTGTTCTTAAGACCCGGTTTCTGGCAGGTCTTTCCTACTGTTAGTTTGGAATGGAACCGTTTCGGACTGAGTGGTTACTTTGAGTGATCGCACAAACAAAAGAGTGCCGAGAACCTCTGATCTCAAGTGTGTGTTAATAGATGGTGCAGATAACTTACCGCTGCTGCCATCTGTGCCATTCTTGGGGTAAACCTGCAGGCCCGGAGGGAGCGAATGCTGCAGGAGGTGCATGTGGAAGTCGTTCTCACTCTGCACAGCTTTCTGTATGCGCAGCTTGAAGATGTTGGTGAAGTAGCAGGTGGCATCAAACCCCAAATACACTACAGGATATCCAATGCTGAGTTTGAAAACAAAGGGGGGGAAAGACACATGTGACACATTCTATTATTAATGATTAGTATGTTTATAGATTTATGCTCATTTTGACTTCCTTCATTTGTTACTTTATAGGTCATTAGCTAGTAGCATAAAAGTGAATTTGCTCCTTTAATAAATGGTTCACAAACATCTAGGCCAAGTCATACTATCACACGGTGGATTAATAAAAGTTTAATGCTGATGCTTTTTAGTCGCATCTCAATTTTATGTAAGACATTTTAAATCATAAAGTTATTCTTAAGATTTGTGTTGAATCAACATACCAGTGTGCAGCGAAGAAATGAGACAGGTTGGCATGAGAGGTTTTAAGGTCTTTGAGTCGGAGTGAAGCCTCCGTGTACACGAGCAGAATCCACAAGGACACCGTCGATATACAGATGCCTTTCTCTGCAGACAAACACAAAGCTTCATTTTGTTATGACAGGAACAGTGTTTGGTATGTTTTGTCATATGTAGGACACAATAATCGCACGCTCACCTGTATGCCATATGTAATTGAATAACACATAAGTGCTCGCCACGAAGAACAGCCAGTGCAAAGGCACAAAAATTAAACAAAAGATGTCCAGAGTGAAGGCAGCACAGACAAAAACAACACAAATAACCTGCAAAAAAAAAAACACAAAACATTAATTTCAGTAAAAAATGCACTGGATTCATTCTGTGGGATTATGATCGTCTTGGCACACAATATGAAATCACACAATAGAGGGTTCTCACCAGCCCATGGCAGTGGAACGTGGTGTACACACTCCCGAAGAAAAGCCAGCATGGCCACAAGTACTCCAGTCTGAATTCAAGCATGAAATCTGCCAGCAGCACCAGCGTCCACATCATCATGAACTTCAGGAAAGTGTATGCACTGCAAATAGATGACAGATGAAGTCCATTACTGTTGTTATTATCCATAAAACATCAGCAGGGGGGTGTATTCAGGCAGGGTACATGTGATTTGTACTCTAGGCTCTGATTCTAGCAAATAAAGACAGATATAGAGAAGCCTCTGAAGTCAAAACATTAAACACACACACAGAAGCCAACACAAGACCAATGGGATACATGTTGCTGAACCTATAATTAAGCAGCTGCATCTTATAAACTGCGGTCCGTCCTTTTAAGTAGAGGCTCTACAGAACAATGACTGTTCATTGTTCATCAGGCGACCAGGAGCCAAACGGGAGCTGTGGTCTCCTCCTTTGTTCTGCTCACATCAGCCCTTCTTTGTTTGGTAACCATGGCGATATTTCATCTGGAGGAGAGAGGGAGCACCACAGCATCCGATTGCACATGGAAGTTTTAAATGTCCCCTATTTAATGTTGCTGATGTGGAATGTAATTTGAATTTAACTTACAGGTAGTTTACACTTAAATATGATACTAAATATGCAACAATAGAAAAGCTGTAATTTATCTGAGAGAGTGAGCGACAAAGAGGGAGGACGAGCACATCTTCAATTTTAATTCATCTCACTGCTATTTTAAATACAACACATATGCGAGTTCATCTTTAAGAGTAAAGAGGGTGAGATATGGAGGACTACCACGTCTTAAACTATTCAAAGAAGTTCATTTTCAATAGTTTTTAACGTATGTATTTACCAAATACAGAAGTATACCACAATTAAGGAGCAAGAATTGTATATTTTATTGTAAATTCATGAAAACAAAAGAAGGCAGTGTGTGTATTTAAATATACAGTAGCCTAGGCTTATCTGTTTGTATTTACTGAATTGCTCATGTGTAACAAATTCAATTAAAACAAGTGTGGGTTTTTTTTGTCTTTTCTTATCTGGACTCTTGTCTAGGCGCTTTTAAATTCTTGCTTTTTTTTCTGTGCAAAAGCAGCTGCTTTCGTTTGGCCTAAAAGGGAAAATACAGCTAATAAAAACACAATACGTCAAATGCACGCGCATCATTCTGCCTAATTGTGTCTGCGTAAAAGCAGATGTCCCACCGCTGAGGAGCAGCAGGCCGACGTTAACCTGCACGGCTGCTGCTTTCTGTCCTTTCCCTAAACAATAATCCGGGTGAAGAAAGTCGCACATTTTCTACACGCATGTCTGCGCAGCTGAACCCCGCGATGAAGCGCATTTACAGCCCCAGACTGGTGCATGTAAAAACGTGAGGCACGGGATGAAGGGATGTGGGATGTGAGGCATAGGTGAGCATGATGACGACGGCTGGATTTTTACACAAAGACGAGGCACCACAACAAAAGCAGCCTCCGCCAGGCGACGCGTTAGCTACCTTTCAGACAGCCTCTCCGTTATTTTCATTTTTTTCATTTTCCGTAGCCTGTTCGCGTCCACATAACGTTTCTTCATCTTATGGCTTCTACTCCCTCCGTGCTGTTTGTGTTTTCACACCGCGCAGCGGCAGCGGCGATAGAAAAAAGGGGCACAAGATGAAAATGAAGAAGATCCCTCGTTGTGAAGGAGGATGTTCAGCTCAAACCTGTGATGAAGATGTCTGGCAACATCTACAGTCTCCCGAACGGACCTGCGCATGCCCAGTGGATGTTGCACCTACAAGTGTTCATCGCAGGAGGGGAGCAGAACAACACACTGTGTTTTTATTTATATTGTATGCTATTGTACTGGTGATAATAATGATAATAATAGTAATAATGCGAGCAGCTTTACAAACACATAATTTAAAAATAATAACACATAGCCTTATAATGAATTAAACAATAAAACACAAATTCTGATTACGGTATTTTAAATAATATACCATTCTTTAGATTAAACATGTTCTTTGATTATTTTAAATTTAGGTTAGGGTTTCTCCTGGACCCCACATTGAGAATCACATATAATATGTATCAAGTCAAGTCAGTTATATTTATATCGCCTAATATCACACATTTCCCTCAAGGAACCATACAATCTGTACAGCGTACAACACCCTCTTTCCGTAGACTCTTGATTCAGATAAGGAACAACTTCCCCGACAATAAAAGCTTTATTGAGGTAAAAATGGAAGACACCTCAGGAAGAGCAGCTGAGGAGGAATCCCTCTCCCAGGACAGACATATCCATCTACTTCATGTGTATAAAGTATTCCCTAAGAGTGTTCCACAAGCTTCCAGGAGGATCGCCAGACTTTGAAGCAAACTTTAGTGGCCAAACCAATTACAACTTCCCTGGGGATATGTGTGTACAGGATATGTAGGGGTTAAGGTCAAGTAGTCAGACAGATTATTATATAGGGGGTATTAGCAAATGTTTTACATATTTTAATTATATGTTTGATGTATCTTATTGTTTTTTTGTTAAATATTGCACATGTTCAGTGTTTCATTTGGCAGTAAAACATTGTTTTTCCCTTGAGAATAAGAAAGGTAAAGTTGAATTTGAAAGTTGTATGGACTGGACACATAGATTGTATATAATAAATGGACGTAGTCATCGTGACCTCATCTATTGGTTTGTAGACTGCCGTTTTGAAGCCTTGAGTTCAGCAATTTGGCCGTCGCCATCTTGGCTTTTTGCAACCAGTGAACGGAAGACACCATTTTTTGGACTTTACAAAATGAACATCATGCCTCATTGAGGAAGATTTGAAACTAGCAATTGTGACCATAAACTCATGTGTACAAGCTTACCGACGTAATAAATCATGTAAGAAGTAGGGTCATTTTCTCATCGACTTACATAGAATCAGAGGAGTCGCCCCTGCTGGCCAGTAGAGAGAATGCAAGTTTAAGACACTCCTGCATTGGCTTAACTCGTAAAAACCGGAGGTTGGCGCCTTGACTGGACATCAAGATAATGTGCATGTGTGAGTGTGGCAACAGGGAATAGACCCAAACACAGTGTTCATCAATCTACAGTAGTTTTTGCAATGAAAACTTGATTTTGTTTATTGTCATTATAGATTAATATTTTATCAATTTAAGATTCAATTCAACATTCAAAGCTTTATTGTGAAATGCCAGGAGAGCAAGTTGGACATTGTACGGTTAAGAGAGGAGGTATTGTCATCAATCTGTATATGTTGCAGCACAGAGGGACAAAATTGTGTTTCTCCTGATCCAAGCTGGAAAATAAAAAGAATGAATGATGCAACATTTAGGCTAAACATGAGGTGCAAGAAACCAAACAAAATACAAAACTATGCCCTTGAGCGTGTGTTCATTTGTCACACGTCTGTGTGGTCCTGTAAAAATATAACTGACACCTGTCTTATGGCTGCGTACACTTTCACTTATCTGTGCGCCTTGTGCGTCTTCAAGTCTCTTCCGATTCCAAGCACCTCTGCATCAGTTGTAAGTTAAAAATGCCCACTCTGTTTGAAAATGATATTGAGTGTATATATTTCTTTACGTTATCCTAAAAAAAAGTACTTTTATTCATCTATGCTTCCAATGTGCAATAAACTAACCATTATTTCTCTCTCCTCTCTGACAAGGAGAGGAGAGAGAAATACAGACACTCACCCCACCTGAAGTGGGGTGAGTGTTTGTAATTAATATTTATTTTATTAGCATTAAATTGTGTTTATTTAGAAAAATCTAAACCATCCTTTGGATTCACGGTCCGTATTGACTCGAGTGAGATTGTGAACAAGCTAAAGAAACTGAGAGGAAGTGTACAGCCTACTGCTAGCAACATGTTGAAAATGGTCAAATCCTGATAATGCATTAAAATGATTTCATCATCTCAAAAGCATAAAGTGCTTCACTGATCAATATTCTGAGCATGGATTATCACTTGAGCCTATTAGTGCTTGATTTGATATTACACATGCTCCCACGTGCAGCTTATTAGAGATCAAATCATTTTTTTCCGGACAAGCACGCAGCACTTGGGAGATGTTCTGGTGTATCACTGATCTACATGTGCTAAAGGCAGATCTGTCCTCTGCTTTCAACAGAGCTGGAACAGCGAGGTTGCATGCGAAGCTCAGAAATGGGCCAACACCTGCTCCATAAACTACAGCCCTCGTGAATCTAAAGAGAACAGCTGTAAGTTTATTATAACGCCACTTGTTGTAAAAGTAAAGTTCACTAAAAATTCAGCCACACTGTTGTACAAGCACATAGATAAGTGAGAGCTACTGCGGTACTTAGTAAGTTTGAATGATGTCTTTCAAGCATTTTTATTCTTTTCAGAGCTAGAAATAATTGGAAACATAATTTTAGAGCATCATGAGACATTATTAAACTCTACACTGACACCCAGACAAATCGCATTACTTACAGTTCAATGGCCACTATAGTATCTACAGTATTTAATGGCAGAAACATTAAGTCAACATTAAGTCCTTGCATCGTAAATAAAATGTCATGGCAGGTTTTATAGACTAGTTTCATGTGGCAGTTTATTATGCGATTTTCTGATGTAGCTGGGTCAAATGAAATACAGGAAAATATATTATGTGTGGGTCTTGTGCCGATGATCAGACTGGTCTGTAGTGAATGGAAGCGTCCAAATATATAACAAATATAACGTTAAAAAACGTTACTATTTCGAACTTTATATGAGACAATGCTATTAAAAATACAAGAGAAAAATAGTATTATATACAGGAATATGGAGTATATTTATTTTACATCTGAAGGGACAAACCTAATTAATATAATCACTATCGTAAACTTAATTGTGTTTACCTGTGGATTGAGTGCATAAAATTACAGATGTGGACATGAATTTGAATGTGGGTTAATAGTTTTTAATCCAGGTAAATTATGGAAAAATTAAAAAAAAGTTTATCCATAATTGCTTAATGTAAATTATTACTATTTAAAAGAGATATATTGCTTAATACTCAGCGATAGGTTTGTTGATGTGTTCGTTTGTTTTTTCTATCGCTGGTTTGTTTGTCTATATCTACTGAAGTATCTCTCTCCTCCTCTTTAACTGTGTAGCTCCCGGCTGTAGTGAAGCTATCCAGGTCTGGTACGACGAGGCGGAACAGCATCTATTGAGGATGAGGATCTATTGGTGGAAAACCGGTCGGAAATTATATTCACTTATACCTCTGTTTGTACAGCACTTCTTCATACAGAAGAAATAAATTAATTCATGACGGTGGTGTTCACTTCATTAGCGGGGCAGCAGTTAGTTTAGTCAGCTTTTTTTTATTCATACACTTTGCTGATATTGAATACCTCCAGTTTAATACTGTCTTTTCCTGAATCTCAATGTATTATCTTTATACGCTTATCTTTGAAGCTGGTATCCCTCTGCTGATTACTGAAGAGGTTAAATAGCGTGAAGTATTGAACCAGAGATTAGAAAGGAAACTTACTTTGGCACGGCACTTTTCTGGACAAACACCGCCTGCAGCGGCAGGTGCCCTTTGACTGCATGTAAGATGTAAACTCACAAAGAGGAAGGAGAACACATTTGGCTGGGTGGATTTGGCAGAAGTGGGAAGGAAAAGTAATTCCACATGGATTTCCTACAACTAAGCCAAGAAACAAGCACAGTTTGTGACCACAACTGCTTGCTGTGGCTAATTATAAAGACTGATAGTAATAATTTTAAGCTTTAAGCCGCTTGAATCACGACTTCATTCGTATTGATTACATCTTTAAAATATGTAAGTGATTAATGTTCTAAGACCAATGAGACCATCCTTTTATTTTATCATGATGCACTGATAATAACACTGTCAGGTACATTTTTGGAGGGTTTCCTGTGGAATCCAGGCTGCATGAATTTCACAGGACTCAGCTTCCTCTTAGATAAGATGGAAACCTGACCTGGCAACACATTGATCTCCATTTTAAAGGAAGTGTTGAACTGTACGTAATATATTCCAAAAGGTGGAATCTAACAAAGTACATTCACTCTGTAAGCATTACTTCCAATTTAAACTCCATCCTACATTCGACTCTAATACATTTCAGAAAAAATATTGTACTTTTCACCCTTTACTAGATTATATTTTAGTCTAAAATGGGGCCCTGAAGTTTTATGAAAAGTGAAAACATCTGCCTGTTTTGTAGCAGTATCTCAAGCTGCTTTCAACACAAATCAACTCATTTTCATAATTTTATTAAATCATATTTTTCATAATTTTATTAAATAATATTTTTCATAATTTTATTGCAGCAAAGCTCCCTTGATCTTTCTCTTTTTAACCGGTTGAAACATTAAGATTGCACTCACACTCACAGGACTTCAACATGTGGGGGAAACAAACAGAGAGGCCTACATGTAAAAAGAAAAGCCAAAACTACGAAACCGCGACAAACCCCCATCAGGAATGAGTGTGAGATTTGGTTTAAATCACAATACCAGTGCCTCATTGGACAGAACCCACAGGAACCCCAGGGAGTCCCTGTGACACGGCCATGACGTCACCGAGACTATAAAGACCGACGCACACCTTCACACTGCAGACTTCCCATTGCAATTTACATTGCTGCAGAAGGTAACAACTTTGGTACACGGGAAAAACAAAAACCTAGGTAACAGTCCTAATCTCGCTGCACGAGCTGTTTTCGTGTTCACACGCTTGGATCCTGAAAGAGAGACTGATAACCTCTGTTCCCCTGAGCTC